TGCGCCTGTGGTGGTTTAACCTCAGCAGGCTGGCAGGGAGGGGGTTTGATGGGGTTTGTGTCACTGTGCTGGGACGGTGTTCTGCTCACACTTATTCTTTTCTTACATTCTGAACTGGTTGAAGAGGCTGCAGCAGAGGTGTTAGGTGAAGAATAAGTTGGTGCAGTTGAGGTCAGCGGAGCAGTCAGGGTGACACAGGACGTAGAGGTGGCCTGAGACTGAACTTTACTACAGGGAACAGTAGTTTGGACATGTGATGCCGGGGGGGCGGTTTGGGCGGTCTGTTTTGGAGGTACTGACGCAGCTGAGGTGACACTGCTGGTGCAGTCCGCAGGAGAAGGTGCAGTGTGAACAGTGGATGGATTATGTGTAGTCGCAGTTGTACCTACAGAACTGTCTGTTGACCTGCTCTGTCTGGAAGCAGCAGTGGTTGGAGCTGACTTACTTTGTGTTATTGATCCAGCTGTACTGGTGGTTGGATTTTTAACTTCTGCCACTATGACTTTGGTTCCAGGTGATTGGTCGGAAACTACAGCAGATTTACTCTCCTGAACAACTACAGCGTCACTAACAGACGGCTTCACTAATGTGTCCCTAACTGTGGTTGTGATAGCAGCAGTGTTGGTTTGACCGTTCACAGCTTCACTCTGAGAGGCACCCACAAGACTGTTGCTCTGTGAATTGGACTGACTTGATTCAGTGGTCTCATTAGACGAACTAGCAGCGATACCTGTCTTAGGGTCCTGTGTTGAACTGACAGCTCTGCTGCTGTGTGTACCACTGACAGCTGTGGAGCTGTCTGTGATTTTTACAAGTGGAGGCTTCAAAACCTGAGACACTGGGGACTGAGTAGTTTGGGACTCCTCAGCAGCAGTCGCAGGCTTAACAACCGCAGCAGTCTGTATCTGACTGGGCTCGTCTTTCTTGGTGGGTTTAGTCTTTTTAGCCATCACTCTCTTTATACTTGATCCTGTGCGGATTCTCTTCCTTGAAGATTTGGGCGCGTTAGCCACCTGTACAGATGTGCTTTGATTTAAACAAGAGACCTGTAGCTGCTGCACAGGCAGAACAAGTGTTTTTGCAGGAACAGGAGCTGCAACAGGAGGCTGCTGCTGCTGGGGAACTGTTGATAACTGGGCAGATTGCAGCTGACTATTCTGGCTAGAAATTGAAAGTTGAGGACCCTGAGAGATGCTCTGGTTGAGAGTTCTGAGGGCCCCTAAACTGTTAAGGGCCACATTATTAGTTGGTTCTTCACTGGTGGTAGGTTGGACCAGCTGCAGTGTACTCTGCCATCCTGCGGCGTTTGATTTGTCACACGTCTTCATGGGTTGCAAGGCAAACAGTTGAGCATTCACAGTGATAGTTTGTGGAGTCGGAGGAACTGGTAAAGAGGATGATGTCTGGGTGAGCTGCAGGGTGCCGTTAGTCTTGGGTTGAGCCGGGAGTGGAAGGATGTGCACCAGCTGCTTCCCCCCAACAGTTGGTAAAGGAGCAGCTGGTGTTGAACTGCTAGTTGTGGGTTTTTGAGAAGAAACCGTGGGGATTACAGAAGGCATCCCAGCCTGTAACATGCCAACCTGAGGATTCTGAGGTCCAGGTCCACTCTGGTTGGGGGTCTGGATGATTACAATATGCTGACACGGTGTCTGATTAGATATATCCTCCCTTACGACTGATGGTGCTGGACACGACCCAGGTTGCTGCAGGATGACCACACTTGGGTTGAGGGTGTTCTGTGATGCCGTCACACTTGAGGCTGCTGCTCCATTCGAGTTGACCTGCAGCACCTGCATAGTCTGAAGAAGTGGCACCAAGGCCGGCTGGGGGATGTGCTGTGGCTGAGGGATGATGGCCGTAGCAGGGCTGGAAATCAATGACCCAGTTTGAAGCACAGCAGGCTGGGGCTGTGAAACGACAGCAGGGTGAGCCACCACAGCTGGCTGCGGTACTATGACTGACTGTGGGAGAACAGCACACTGAGGGTGAGGGGGCTGGTTCAAGAACGCTGACTGTAGTTGAGATGGTCTCTGAATAGGCTGTGCTGGAATGTGGGCATTAACCGGTGCCTGTTGCATGGGGACAGTTGGTTGCACCTGTATTTGAATTGGATTTTGTTTATTGCCTACTGGACACAAAGTGACTTGCTGAACAGTCTGGGCGGTGTTACTGGCCTCTGGGTTGGCAAGACTCTGGCAAACCGGCTGCACTGTGTTCCCTGCCATCTGCAGGGTTGTCCATGTAGTCTGTGTGCTCCCTGCTGCCCCTGCCCTTAGAAGCGCTTGGGTGTTGGGAACAGCAGTGCAATTTATAGTCCTTATAGCAGTGGCCTGTGTGACTGAAGACAGAACCGCCGAGGATGTCGCTTTGGATACGGCTTGGGTAAAGATGGGGTGAGATATGGGTAGAGCAGCACTATCAAAGGGCAGCTCTGAGACTGCGGTGGCAGATACTGTGAATGTTTGGGCTGGGGCAGTAGGTTGGGGCTGGTGGGGCAGGGTTGTCGTGGCTGTGGGGATCTGGAGTGTGATGTAAGACACAGACGGTGGTAAGTTGGTGGCTGGAACAGGTGTCTCAACCACACAGGGTTCCACTCTCAAGCCGGGTGTTGTCTGTATTGGTTGGATGGTTGACCCAGGAAGAAGGGCAGGAGTGGAGGAGGAGGTGTTAACCTGCAGCATGGCTCCATTAACCCTCAACCCACCACTAACATCAGTTGGGGGCTGAAGAATTAAGGTTTCTGAAGCCTGTTTTCCCGAATTAGCTTCCATCCCGGCTGGGCACATCACATTGCCATTCGAATAAACTATGATCCCCTTTGGCAGCTGGTGAGTCAGGGCCACATTTGCACAGCGCTGTTTTCCCTTCCAATGGACAGTGAGGTCCTCCAGATGGTTGATGTCATGGGTTTTAAGGAGCTCAATATAGCGGGTATTGTCTTTCCTGAGTTCCTCCAGTTGATGTCGCAGTTGACGGATCTCCTCCGCTGCACAGAGAAATAAATGATAACCATAATGAGTTTTTATATTTATAATTATTCATCTACTATTTTTCTAAATATGTATTTTGTAAATATTTACCTTGGACTTTATCTCCTCCCTCAAGAAGCATTGTGTCATTTTGTTTTTTAAGTTCAGTAATGTAATGAAAAGCCTGGTCCAGGATCATGTTCTTACTCTACAGAGGAGGAAATTAAGAGGACTGTAAAAACACCAAACAAACAAATGTTTTTCTTACAATTAGACAGAAACAAACGTATGCGTTACCAGATTTTGCTGGGAGCTTGGCAGAAGATTACCGATGCGGTTGATTCCTGCATTAATCTTCTCTTTTCTGTGCCTCTCAACTTAAAAAAATATATAAAATGTTAATTTAAAAAAAAAAACATTCTACAAAAGAACCACAAACAATATGTCCATAAACAGGATGACACGTACCAGCATTGTGAGATTCCTTATTTTTTTTCCTTCTGTCAAAACAATTTGCACAAAAAAATTTAGGTTAAAATTCAGGTTGCACTTCTACATTTGTACTTAAACTTTATTATAGAAATCACTTTCTTACTTGCTTTTACGCCCAGTTGTAGGAGGGTCTGTCATCTCTGGCATTCTGTCTTAACAGATGCCCTTTAGATGATTATACCATTCAACACATTTAACCGCTGACCATTAAAACCCACCTGTGAGTAACCTGTAAAACAAAGAAAACAGACTCTAAAATAAAATGTTAAGACTAATTTTAGGTCAGGATTAATTTATTTATGGAAATGTATGAAATTTTTTCTAAGTGCTTTTTACACAGTAATAAATCAACATATCTCATGGGTGTAATTTTACTTTTTAAACAAGTAGTATCTTGACGAAGTAAAAAACATATAGTATAAATTATTAGTTTGCTAAAAAGGATATTTTTAATAATTTTTTTCTCAACAGATATATACAACCCAGATTCAGATCTAAAATGCAAAACCAAGAGAATGATACATATAGGACTGAGTATTTAAACATTTCATCCTCAGCTGTAGGGCGGTTATTACTGCTTTATGTACAATCGCTGTGGTGTCATTTTCCAGCAGTCATGCGATCTATAACTTAAATATAACTTAATGTTGTTGTGAATATAGGGTGGTTAATAGACTTCATAAAGCCAAAAAAGAGCCTGCAATTCAACTTACTAGATGCTAACAAGATGGTAAGACTACTAGCCATACAGCTCACTAACCTTAATTATTAATCCGTTCTGGTTTTACTTTGTCGATGACAAATTTTAGTCATATAATAGTCATAGAAAATACAAATTGTCTAATATAAAGGAAACTAGATTCCTGAGCTATTACCTATTCACTCAGCTCTACCTTTCCTAGCTATCTAGCTAATAGCAACCTTAGCAATCCGTCACCGACATTAACGCTTCGCTAAATAACGGCATTTTTTCCGCATCGCAGCACATTTAAAAAAACTTCTTCAAAAGAGCAATGTCCACCAACCTGTAAGATCGGCATTCTGGAGACCATTTGTCTCTGTAAGAACTTTGAGTGTAAATTCTAGCAAAGCATTCCCCTCAACGCATCTCTCAAAACAATCCAGTAACACCGAAATTGCTGAAAATAGGGGCGGGCTCTGAGGGAGCACCCAACCAATGAAAATTAAGATAGGGACGTTCCAGCAAATCAGGACGTAAAAACGGGAGTAGATTTTACAGTGAATGCAGCATGCAGTAGCTCAGCATCTTCCTGAGGTCTTTAAATGTAAACCACAATGATGAATATTATTCTCTTAACAGGAAAGCTGTGGCATCAACACGTTTGCCCAGTGGCAGCTTTGCTGTTAGCAGATAGAGGCCAAAATGTTCTATGAAAGTGTCATCAGAACAAGGTAAGTGCTATGTAGGTATTGTGGATCTCATATTTAAGTAACAAAACTAGTGAGTACAAGAGATGTACTTATAATGGCAGTGGATAATGTTTTGATGCAGAAGAATACAGAAAAAGAACAAAAATGTACTGCAAATAGTAATTCATTTATTTAGATGTTAAAAAGTCTTACAATATAGAGCTCCAGAAAAGATAAAATTCTTCAAAGAAAGGAAAAACATGCTTGTACTACAGTGGAGAGGACACCTCCCCTTGCATGCAGAGGAATCAGAGCTACCTCTGGGTGATGCATTAGTCAAGAGAACCAAAACAAAACTTTGAAACTATGAGCCTCAAAACCTAATGAAACACCACAGGTTGGTTGACTGAGGCAGGGAGTTTGAGAATACAATTTTAGCAAGGTGGTTCTGACAGGTGTCTCAAAATACTTCACACCCTTGTCTGCCACAGAAAGTAAAGCCCAAATCAAATCCAAAACAGCCAGCCTGTTATAATTCAGACATTCATTACAAGATATTGTACACATTCATTGCAATATTGTGTTTCTTTCATTTATATTTTTCCCTCTTGGCAGTAAACCCAGAAGAACCTCTGAACCTTTGCCTTCTTGGTGTAAAATTGTTTTTAACAGAAACAGTTGAAGGGGATTTAAATTAAAAGGCTGGAAAATAGTTATTCAGACATGACTGGCGACCAAAACCTCCCACCACTTCCCTAAAACAGTTCAGCCTTCCTCTAGTCCATAATAAGGGGTGCATTTCTGCTTTCCCCCTACAGGACCAGACGTAGCAGTACACTGATAGGAATGGTTTCTCATAGATTCCATTTGTTCAGGTGGCCGGGCAGAGGGTGGTTACTTTTCCACAATGTTGGCTTAAAGTATCCCACTCACTCACTGACCAGCTGGGATTCAGTGTCAGTGATGATCTTTTAAGCACTTTTTAACTGTTTCAAACCAACTATTATTTTTTATTTGCTCCACAGTATAGATATATCCCATTAGCTCGAATAACCGCATAAAAACAACTCAAACACAAACAGCATCATTTGCAAACACCACAACCTCCATCTTTACCATGACTAAAACTGTCTGAAGTTGGTAAAGTTGTCAATAGAAACCCTTTTGGAAACTTTTTTTTTTTAAATACCGGAATGAGAAAAAGGGAGCAATAAAATATGCAAAATCAAAGGGTAATCCCTTTGCAAAATAAATGCAGCATTTTTTTGTAACTTTAAATTGTTTTCTTTTTAGCGTCCTTTGAAGAAAGTGTTGAACAGGTCGATCCCAGGGCATTTGCCACAGTTCTGTTTCTGTGTAGGGGAGCACATCTGTGCTCTGTCCTCCATGTGCCACTACTCCACCTTCTGAAGCTCTCCGCTGGGTGGTGCACATGGGCTACGCAGACTCTTCTGCAACACATGGGCATCTGCAGGCTCTATCCTCTTGTAGTAATTCTTTTTTGTTTCGATGATCTCAAAGCCAAACTTCTGGTAAAAGTCGATGGCCGACTCGTTGCTGATCTGCACATGACTGTGATGTGAACAAAAGTGAATTAGTTAATTACCAAACCAAAAATTGAACAGAAAGGACTTCTTTTTGAAATTGTTTTTTAGCTTCAACTTACAGGTAAATATTGTCAAAGGTGCCATCCTTCTCACAGATGTTTAGCACATGATTAAGCATCTTTGTACCTGAAAGTGACAGAGAGAAAGTTGTAAATATATCAAACAAGATACAAAGCTGCAAAGTGTCAGTGCACCTTACCAATTCCAAGTCTGCGGTAGGGTGCTAGACAACCAAGTGTCATGATGTAGAGTCTCTTCTGGTTCTGAGAGTGGTCTACTCTGCAGCACACAGCACCAACTGCAATGTCATTGAAGTATGCTGCGAGACAAAGTGGTAACACCAAAGTCAGACTTGAGGGCAATTAATTGCATTTCCAATGTATTAAAAATGTTTTAATTGTTTAATTATAGGTTTCAAAGCATGACCAATGAATTTGTATCTTACCTAGCTTTGCTAGCTCGCCTACTTCCAGAACATCTTTGTAAAACTTGTCGTTGTAGCTGACAGGGAAGATGACTTGGTTCAGGCGTTTTAGCTGTTTAATGTTGTGGGGCGTAACATCCCCCAGCTCGATCCGGCTACTGGAACAACAGCAAATCGGTCAAATGGGGGACAACAATTACTAATTTAGTAGGACAAATTTATTAGTAAGGATAGTAATTAGTAAACAACCCAAGTAAGACATTGGAAGAAACTCACATAACCTTTACACCACAATTTTTGCACTGCTAATTTAATAACGGATTGATTTAAGGAAAAATTGTAATAAGAAAATGTATTTCATTAACCATATTAACATTATTTTGTCATTTGATTTTCACTGGTTTACAAATGTCAAAACAGTATACAGTTCTCCTGGTCTCAGACACAATAACCTAGGAAAGCATTAAAAGTCGTGTTAAATCGGTGAACTAAAAATAAAAGTTTATGTTCGTGGTCAAAGGGGTCAACGGGATATTTTTAGGATACACATCCAAAACCAGCCGCTGGTCACGTGTGTTGTTTATCGGGATGTACAAAGAATCGGCACAGTCCACACACATTGTAGACGCTAAAATAATTTAAAAATCGGAACTGAATCATTAATACGGAAAAGTGTTAATCTTCTTCGTGTAATCTGAGAATAGAGATGTGTCCGAAATACAGTCGAGCATTACTGTCTGTCAGTACGTTACTTTGACAGATCGTGTTTCACTGAGAAGGCTGCAACAAACTCTGGAGTTAGTGTAACGTGAACTCGGCTGATATGGAGCTGACAAACTTCCCTCAATGCTCAAAACTTAACAAAACTCATATTTTAGTTAAACTGTTGTCAAAATCTATGCAAATAATTATCTAAGATGCTAAAGCTAAACAAGGTTTACTGACTCAGCTTCAGATGCTGTTAGCAACTTGGCTTTGAATGCTCACAATATAAGTCAGCAAGCAGACAGTACCACTAAGTTATAACATGTACTACTTAAACTCTCGAGTTTTGTCACCGAGGTACCTTTTGTACATAACACTTAAGTAAAGGTATGTTGAAATGCTAACTAGCTTAGCATAGCCCCGCCGTCTACTCCTCCTGTAGGTAAAAAACAGCTAAAAAAAACTTTACTCGTGCTAAACTACTTATTCTCCGCTCGATGGCTCACACTCACCCTTTCATTGTAAACAGATATTATTCCTTATTTTCGTCGAGGATGAATTTGACAGTTGTTTGGGGTGAAAAGGAGGGAAATTGGCGGAGTTAGGGTGAGGGATGCCTCCCGTTTTTACCCACCACATGTAGCTACATACGCTGTTAGCGGTTAGCTTTAGCCACTGCACTATTCCAGCACTGTGGAGCCTGTCACCTCTGACCGCGCAAACGCACTAACGCTGCTGCAGGTATTGTTGGGATTTATTGGACCTATAATTAGTCTACCAGGCTGTCTTATCGCTGGAACTCCGTCCACACGACGTTTTAAAAAATAGTCTTTAAATCCAAAATTAAATTAAATCAGAATCCCGATCGTGTTTTTCCGTTTGAATTTTTATTCAAAATGTCAAGAATCATAACAACTATTAACATTATATATTTTTTTACGTCTTTAAGTACGTCTAATTTGACTACTTTTTTATTTCCCTTTTAATCCCAACATTATAACACTTTTAGAATTTGGACATCAAGTGTAAGTCATCCATCCATCCATAAAAATGTAAGTCATGCCGTTTTCTTATTAAGACATGCAAAATTCCATAGCCCAATAACCCAAATCACAAAATTCTAAAATATAATTAATAAGTAACATTTTATAATAATAATTTTATTAAGATTAAACATTTGTTTCATAGTTTGTTTAATCTTGATCTCTTTTCATAGTTTGGGAATTAAAGTCTGAATTCCTTGTTTTTTTATTTTTTGGTTTATTAACAAATTATAACTAAATCTAATTAACTCAGTTAAAAGGGATCTTAGTGTGTTATTAATTTACTTAAATAAGTGAATATAAAAGTCAGGGAAAAATCTGTTTTAGCGATTGAGGATGATTTGGGAAATATAGTATGGGCTAAGCAATAGCCTGACAGTCTCGTCGTTGGGAATATTTGATCACCTAAAAAGCGTATTATGGTATTACATTATCTTAAATAAACAACCGAATCACTTTATTTCTATGTGCCGGATTTTTTATATAAAAAAAATCTAAAAGGGCTACTGTTATATAAGTTTTATTTGTCAAGTCGAAGCTCCAAAGGTGAGTCACTTTATTAGAGTAAATAATTCATCCTAGCGGTTAAACGCAGAACATCCATTTTGGCTCAAGGATTAGCACAAAGATGTTCACCACATAGTGTAGAGATTATCACGAGAAACCTGTTTCATTTCAGGAATGTTATAATAATAAGAAAAACAATATTTTACGTAGCATTTTATAGGATGGACGATTTTCACACATAGGTAAATAATATTGAATTGTAACAAAACAAATCTTCTTTTCCTTTAGGCTTTGAATTCATAAATTAGTTTTATTTGATTTGCTTTCTATCGAGACAAATGTTTTTCTTCATTCAAACTAATTAAATAAAATGTCTACGGCCACCATGCATTTTTGATCCAGATTATAATCTACCTCGATTTCCTTCCTCGATTAACTTCTCCTGCAGCGGTTGTAAACTAATTCTGAATCAGAGTGATACGTCTTTCGTGTTCAGCATTGTAAAATCTTTGCAGGTGACTTCGGGGCGGATCCAAAATGGCGGTAGTTGCAGTGGCCAGCAGTAAAAGCAGTGAATGAAGTCAGCTGATCTTAGACTGCTGTCACGCATCGCTGTATCCATCTTTTCTCAGCTCCAGCAGGATACTTAAACACCACTTTACCATCATACGGTACGTCTCATCTCGGTTTATTTGTCTGCTTTGCCAAATATCATTACATTATTTACGACCCTTTACTTCTCTGCTTAATTATTTTTGCTCAAACACCAAAGGCAGCAAAAATACAAGGCCGAGAGACCTGTCCTATCGTTTTAATACTACCAAATGATACACAGTGTCTTTAGCAAATGTATCTTATTTTATTAACAACAACGAGTGTTTAACATCTATATAAATGTACGTAGAATGTCGCCGTAGGATTTAGCCCGTTTTGCTAACATATGTTACTTCTAAAGATCAAACAATGACCAAGATAAAAATCATCATCTTAACCACATTAAACGCCGACTCTTTTATTCATGGTCCTATATTTAAAATGCTATTTTGTTTAAATACATGAAAGTAGCTAACAGTATTAAAGTGTAATTAACAACAGTGCGTTAAGGTTTCAATGGGGTCATGTCACCTACATGTAACATTTCTTAGCATATTTGTGCACATACATGAAATATGTATGCACATTCAGAGAGAGAAATAGAAGTCTACCTCTTACACATTTATTTTATTTATTATTGTCTCATTAGGAACATGTTTCGGTCCCTGTTAAACTTTCTGGCTATAAAATGAAGAAACACACGTCTCCATTATTGCAAGAATCAATGTTCACCTGTGTTCTTGGTATTCTCAGTGATTTTCTGATCACTCTCAGTAAATGAGCAAATACAGCAGCTAAGGTCAATGTGGCAGTAATGAAGGATAGAGTTATCTTTAGTAAACCACATTTCTATTTAGTTTTGTGGTGGACACCAGACAAGAGATTTTTCCCAGTGTTTCCACACACAGACACGCTGTGCTTTCTTATAATGAATCATACTAGTTTCCACTTCCTCAAAGAGATTCACAAACAGAGGTCATGTGCCAGGATCATATGATCAACTCTGTGTGTGTGTGTGTCTATATCCTTTCTTCCCCTTTAAACACTTTAAACACATTGAGTTAAACACACTGATGTTGGTGTTTCACCTTTTGAAATATGTGTTTAGTAGTTATATAATAATAATCATTATTTAGATGGTGTGGTAAGAAATGAGGCAATGCATTATCTGTGATCTTTGATAATTTAATCAGCAAAACAATGGGCCCTGTCTTCAGTTTCTTTGAAGTCTTTTAGAACACATGTGATACAACTTAACAAATCAATATCTCACTTCAGAGTGTTTGTGATGAGTGTAGTGTATACATTAACCACACACACACACACACATTTATATATGAAATAATTGGGGTTTTTGTGGCCATGTTTCTGGTTTCATTTTAAAGACTAGAATTATTCCAGTGCAGTTGTTTTTACTGCAGTTGCCTGATGGTGGAGCTGCTGCAACTTTGCACAGATGGTCTGAGCAGCCGTGTGTGAACAGGAAGATCTTTGCATCGGTGGGAAGGACAAAAAAAGGGCATACACATAGTGCATGTATCCGGTTGAGGGATGTGTGAGGTACAGGCAGATTCTTATTGATGAGTTCACTACTTCTAACTCTGCTGAAGCTGAGGCTCGGTGTTTGAAGGATCAGTGCTGTCACGACTAAAGGCTGCTCGCGGTCGTGTTGTTCCTCTGAGTCTGTGAGTTGTGATTAGAGAAGTGGAGACTGTATTTTTATTAAATGTTCTCTTAAGCTGTTATTGTTGTAGACATTTGAAGGACTAACGGAGGACAAGCCTATGTGGGATTCCCTCCTGATAGTGTGAGTGGATCAGGCTACCGTTACACTGACCGTGAGGTGTGAGCAGCCAAGGAGGAGGGCCTTAATCAGGCTGTAGTGGGCAGTGATACTGCTGTTTTTTTAGGGATGTTCTAATCTGTCAGCGCAGGGTGAAAAAAAAGACAGATTGTAAAAATATTTTTAGTAACAGCGTCATGGTAAATCAGTGCAAAAACAGAAAATAGCATTGAATACCTAATAGTTTTTCTAAATTGACTACAATGTGAGAGTAGCAAATGTTGTTATATATTCTTTTTCATAATCTCTTCCCATTTTCTTTTTCACGTAATTTCTTTTTCCCTTCTCTCTTCACAGTTAGACCAGCAAATCTGTAAAGATGGACATGTCCAAGCTGCCTAAGATCAGGGATGAGGAGCGAGAGAGTCAGTTTGGATTTGTTCATGGAGTCTCTGGACCAGGTCAGAGGCAACATTTTATGTTTTTATTTATTTTTTATTTTGTTGAGGTAAATCCATACAGTGTCATTATCATGTTGTATTTTGTGTTTCCCAGTGGTGACGGCTACAGCTATGGCAGGAGCAGCCATGTACGAGCTGGTCCGTGTCGGCCACAGTGAGCTGGTGGGAGAGATCATCAGGCTGGAGGGAGACATGGCCACCATCCAGGTCTATGAGGAGACCTGTATCCTTACTGTCCAGAAGTGCACATCCAAGTTTACAGTGTGGTGCTGAGATGACCCGGGGGGGGGGGGACATATTTTCACCATTGTCGTAAACCCATCTGCACTGGAATGCTTTCCTCATACCTGCCCGGCACCACAGTCATTTCTCTGCCACTGCTTGAAAGAACAGTGAATTATTTGAATGCTGTTGCATTAGACCTAAGAGGACACTTAGGTTACATTATTGTGCTGTTCTAGACTCCTTCATATGTATGTAGTTTTCCTGACCCTAGTACAGCTGGTGTGTCTGTTGGAGATCCAGTGCTGCGGACAGGGAAGCCTCTCTCTGTGGAGCTGGGCCCAGGAATCATGGGTTCCATCTTTGATGGTATCCAGCGACCCCTGAAGGACATCAATGACATCACACAAAGTATCTATATTCCCAGAGGAGTTAATATTGGCGCTCTGAATCGAGACCTGAAGTGGGAGTTTACTCCCGTCAAGAGCCTGCGGGTGAGTGTCTTTGCAGACGCACAGGGATTTGTCTGGTATCTTAGAGTCACAGTTTTATGTTTTGTCCTGTGTCACTGCAGGTTGGCAGTCACATCACGGGGGGTGACATCTACGGCTCGGTGTTTGAGAACTCCCTCATCAAGCACAAGATTATGCTCCCACCCAAAAACAGAGGCACTGTGACCTACCTGGCTCCCCCCGGCAACTACGACGTCAATGTGAGTCCCACTGAAGGATGTTTCTTTGAATGGGTTTTTTGTATTTTTCCATGTGTTAATGGTGTTTATCTTATGGGCTAGGATGTGGTGATGGAGCTGGAGTTCGAGGGGGTGAAGGAGAAGTTCACCATGGTCCAGGTGTGGCCTGTCAGACAAGTGCGTCCTGTCACGGAGAAGCTGCCTGCCAATCATCCACTGCTGACTGGACAGAGAGTGCTGGATGCTCTGTTTCCGTGAGTCTGGCCTTTTCATGTTTTGAGTCATAGCAACCAATGCTATAAATAGAGCACATAGGAGGTGGAGAAGAAGATTCTGGCAGGACAGAAAAGAAATGCAAAAGGAAATTTATGTCTATTTAGGAATAGAATGAAATTTTTGCTGCCTCTTTTATTTATGTCTATTTAGGAATAGAATGAATTTTTTGCTGCCTCTTTTTCATCTTCCATGATTTTTTTTTTTTTTTTACTTATTTTCTTTTCATTACGAAGATGTGTGCAGGGAGGAACGACAGCCATCCCAGGAGCCTTTGGGTGTGGAAAGACCGTCATCTCCCAGTCGTTGTCCAAGTACTCCAACAGCGACGTCATCGTCTACGTTGGCTGTGGAGAGCGTGGTAACGAGATGTCTGAAGTACTGCGAGACTTCCCTGAGGTAATGAGTTACAACAGTAATCTAGTTAATCTAGTTAGAGGTTCTTTTCCCGTGACTCTTGTTGTTACCTTTGTTTGACAAACAGCTAACCATGGAGGTTGATGGGAAAACAGAGAGCATCATGAAGAGGACAGCGTTGGTAGCCAACACCTCCAACATGCCTGTAGCTGCTAGAGAAGCCTCCATTTACACAGGTAAACAAAAGAGAAGGAGAATGCACTCCGTCGCCCAGGTGAACTGATCAGCAGTGGCAACACCCGCAATCTAACTTTTCTCTAGGAAAGTAAAGGCATCACTTGACTCTGATATTTTAGTTCATCTTGAACAGAGGAGGGTTGTTTCTTTTGGTACACACATTGATGTCCACTCTGTTTACCTGGTTAACAGCCGTGCCACAGGCATGTACTGTACTACCTCAGAACAGGTTTTACTACACCAAGAAAGCAGCGACTGTGTACAAATAATTAGTGTGGTGTGAATAGTGTGCCTCTGTAGTTTGAGTCTTCACCTGGTTTGAGTCTTCACCTGAACTCATCATCATCATCATCATCATCATCATCATCATCATCATCATCATCATCATCATCATCATCATCATCATCATCATCATCATCATCATCATCATCATCTTCTCACCTTCTCATCTTGTTGTAGATAAATCTTAGTGACACTGACTGTGTGTTTTTGCAGGTATCACACTGTCAGAATACTTCAGAGACATGGGATACAACGTGAGCATGATGGCCGACTCCACCTCCCGTTGGGCCGAGGCTCTCAGGGAGATTTCTGGACGTCTGGCTGAGATGCCTGCTGGTAAGTTTAAATGTCTGCCACAGAAATGACTGAACGTAAAAGGCAGGTTGATGAAAAGGTAATGGATTTCTAAAAGTGTGTAATGAAAGGTTTCAGTGGTTTTTGTTTTCTATTTGGGTTTCTTTTTATGAGGGATAAAAGGTTAGACTCAGACTCTGCTGAATAACTGCTGAGAAGAAAATGGTTTTGAAATGTTCGGTTTCTGCTTTCTGAAGGGAAGTGACAAGACTTCTGTGAAATTCACAAAATTTCTGCCATCTTCTGCTCATTCTGAACACAACCTCCTACTTCCTTCTCTGTCTTCTCTTATAACTGCCTGATGTTATGACATGTCAGAAAGCTTAATGACTTTGAGGCTAAACATTTTTGCAGTAACAAAATCTCAGCTCACAATATGTGTCACCTACGTTTTAAAAAGAAAATAATTAAACTAATGTTTTACAGAGCATATCTAAAAACAGAAGCATGAACTCAGTTAAACTAGCATAATTGCAATACAAATATATTTTTATTAGTTTAATCAATGATAATAGTTGCAGCTCAGTCTTTGCCTACTGCTAAGGCATCTGAAAATAGACGTTTAAAATGTGTGGTGATTTTACATGAGGAATGGTAAATGTAAATTGGGTTCTACAGTGTTTAAATTAAAACTCATAAGTCAGTAATAATAAATGAAATATATACATGTTTCAGTCACCAAATATTTTTTAAAAATATATTCATTTTTAATTCAAAATTTGAATGTTTTGCACAGCTTTATTTAATCTTATTTCTTTTTCTTTCTTTTTCTTCCGTCCCCTCCTTTTCACATCCACAGACAGTGGTTACCCTGCCTACCTGGGGGCTCGTCTGGCCTCTTTCTACGAGCGTGCGGGCAGAGTGAAGTGTCTGGGCAACCCAGAGAGAGAGGGATCCGTCAGCATAGTGGGAGCGTAAGTGAAGTTATTACACTATTGGATCACTAGGGGGAGACATAACTCCATTTGTAATATTTGGAGCTTGTGCGTAATAAAATACATTTTTTCTTTTTAACTCAACAGTGTTTCACCCCCTGGTGGTGACTTTTCTGATCCAGTGACTTCCGCCACACTTGGTATTGTTCAGGTAAATAATCAAATTTTGACTTTACAGTTACTTAGTGAAAATTATAGATTCAATGTCAATGCTTTTTTTCCCTAAAGGTCTTCTGGGGTTTGGATAAAAAGCTTGCACAGAGGAAACATTTCCCTTCTGTAAACTGGCTCATCAGCTACAGCAAATACACCCGTGCTCTGGATGAGTATTACGACAAGCATTTCGCTGAATTTGTGCCCCTGCGAACCAAGGCCAAGGAGATCCTGCAGGAGGAGGAGGACCTGGCAGAGATCGTGCAGCTTGTTGGAAAGGTTTGATCTTTGAGACCCTTTGATATTCATCCAATTAGCACATGCAAATGCAAACACATTCCCTCTACTGTTTATCTGCTTATGGTAAGACACAATTTTTGACTGAAAAAAATTCTAATGTAACAGGCATCACTGGCAGAGACAGATAAAATAACTCTGGAAGTGGCCAAGCTGCTCAAAGACGACTTCCTGCAGCAAAATGGTTACACTCCTTATGACAGGTGAGTCTGGTCTTCATCTGAAATAAATTCAAACTATGGTATCTTCATCTGAGTTAAGGGAATCTGAACCGTATGTGAATGATTCGTCTGTGGAGCATCAGCTGTATTTGACCTGTTATTACTCTTTTTCAGATTCTGTCCCTTTTATAAGACTGTGGGCATTCTCTCCAATATGATCGCCTTCTACGACATGGCGAGACACGCCGTGGAGACCACTGCTCAGAGCGACAACAAGATCACCTGGGCCATGATCAGGGAGCACATGGGAGAAATCCTCTACAGGATCAGCTCAATGAAATTCAAGGTATGTGTTTTTTGTAGGTTATTTTTCATAGGTTTTTAATTCTAAAAAAACTAATATCCCTCTAGAAAAGGCAGTTTAATGTGTTGGTTTGAGAAAAAAACTGGAACTTTCTGATGTTCAGTGATTCCAGCACATTGGATTTTATTGCTCTTGTCAATGTCAACATTACCTCCAGCACAAAAGATTCTCATTTGAATCATCAAACTTCAATTGTCAGGCTGAACCACACACAGAAAACCTACCTGAGTTTCCGGTGGTACATGAACATGACAGCAGAGGTGTCAGGAACTCTGCTTTTTCCCACATGTTTGAAAGCTTTTACCCCATGCTTTGACAGATTGCTTGTGTTTCTCCCTCTACCAGTAAAAGGAACAATGAGCCTTGTCAGAAGAATTTGATTTACCAGAAATACAGTCTAACCTTAAAAACACCACTGAGAATTGAGAACCACTGAGATGAATAATTGTATTTATTCATGTTGTCTCGCACATCAGTCATCTGTAGCACTTTGTACAAACGCAGGTCAATATTCAAGCGCTGTAGGTCATGGAGAAGCTCAGGCTTCGGTGTTTGTACGTTCCACCTCATTTGGATGTAATTGTGTGTCTGTACAGGACCCTGTGAAGGACGGAGAGGCCAAGATCAAGGCTGAGTACGCGCAGCTCCATGAGGACATGCAGAACTCCTTCCGTACATTGGAGGAGTAGACTCCTATCCTGTTTGACCTTTCCAGTCTTCATCTCCTCTCATCTCCAACACAGAATTACATTCCACCTCCTCCCACAAATCGTGTGCCCCCTGGTCTCGTGTGTGTGTGTGTGTGTGTGTGTGTGAGAGAGAGAGAGTGGTGCACATATTCTCATGTGGAGGGAAAAGAGAAAGATGTACTGTATTCATTATTGTTATTGTTGCCTCATACAGGCGTACTCTGGATCCTCTGCATGGTCATTGATCATATGTGAGTGTGTGTGTGTGTGTGTGTGTGTGTATTGATGTGAGATAGAGGGGCCTCTTCACCTCGTCTCCTCTGCCTTTCTTGTTTACATGATTTCTGCTCGTGTACCTGTGTTGCTCTCCCCCCCGTGGAGATTTGTTGGGTTGATGTATTGTAATTCACAGAGCATCTGTACAGAAGAGTATTGAATATACATTTAATAAGACCCGTCTATTTATTGCCAGCATTTTGACGTATCGGCTTTGTGTTCTTTGTTTTGTTTTTAGGGTTGTGTTTCATGCTGTGCTGTGTTGTGAAATTTTTTGCCGTGCGAATGTGTGTAAGAGTCGAACTCTCTGCTGTTCAATGCTTCCATCGTGTTACTCCTGAAGAATTAAAATGTGGAGAAAAGAAAACGGAGTCAGAGTGTGCTTCTGTGTGTTTGCCTCACTGACTTTATGGCTTAGAAGAATGCTTTAACACCAGTCTGTCTATGGACACTATGTTTATAGACAATGACATTGTCATTAATACACTTGCACAAAACTAAATTGTGTGTAGCTACTTAAGAGTTTAGTGTAAACCTAACAATAGAACACCTTTCTGCAAATGCAATTTTGATTTCAAATGACTCCTCCTCTACAAAGATAAACACATTTTCTTTACCTTTATGTACCTATTAAGAAAACGCATCAATAAATATGTTACATTGCAAAATGTTTGTACTTTTCAGGTTTAGGATACGCCTTGGGTACTATAGAGTTTTTGTTTGTTTTGTGGAAGTAAAATACGTGCATGTTACTTGATTAAAAAAAAGGTGGTCACCGGACCAGTTGCAGTTAACTTACTCCATGCAGCACCACGGGTTTTAACGTCGAACTGCGTAGTGCGTATACTAAAAACATCAGAGGCCAGTGGGCGGGACGGGATATAAACAAACGCTGTACTGTGATGGTACGTAGGCAGTGGGAGGAGCGACGTGCGTTGAATATTGCGCATGCGTATTAGTGTACCGGCGACATAAACGGTGGCCTAGCGAAGAAGGGATTACAGAGCCCGATTTGACAGGTCAGATAATAACTTAATAACCTTAACTGTATTTAGCACTAACGCTCAGTAGTTATAGGATTGTTTTAATTTTGACGGTTTGAGTGTTTCCGTATAAATAAACTGTCTCAAAAACTAACATTGACGTTGAAATTCTGGGCTAACGTTTGCTACATCAGTTAGCCATTATTAGCCTGTTAGCAGTCGGTAGAAGATTGTGCTAACGATGGCTATGACATTAGCTAGATGACTAGGTGTGGAGTACTATCTTTAACATCTTTTAGTTAAGTCGATGAGGGCGATATAATAACAGTAGTGATATGATGACAGCTCAGGTATCTGTCAAACGACGCACTATCAAGAAGAAACAGAAACCCTAACCAATTGGCCAGTATCCCCAAATGCCACCGTTTGTTTGATAAGAAAACATTTGCTTATGCGGACTTAACCAGTTGTCACTAGAAAGCTGATCGTTTGGGTAATTAATTATCATGTATGCTAAGTTGTTAAATCTTCTCCACACATAAATAACTGTAAAACACATACTGCAAGACGTAATTATATTGATGGTTTGTACTATAAAAGTTGTTTTATTAGTACACCACACGTCTAAAATATTTAAATATAAAATATATTTTTACTTTTTTTTTAAATGTAAAACATGTCTACTGCAAATCCGTGGCAATTAATGTATTTCTCCATCTCAGGCTACACAATGAGTCAGGGTAAGGACAATGCACGACTTAAGAGCTACAAGAACAAGTCTCTCAACACAGATGAGATGCGAAGGCGGAGGGAAGAGGAAGGTCTACAGCTAAGGAAACAGAAGAAAGATGAACAGGTGGGCAAAGGGCTTTGCTTATGCTACAGGAAACGAGTGGGTGGAGAGTTTTATAAATATTAAGAAAAGACTCATATTTGCTCCCCTAGCCACTGCAGAGAAACTTCTTCTTAAATTTTGCAAATAATCAGGTCTATTGAATGGATAGGGTACTTTGGCTGTGTTGTGGTCATTGCTTCTTATTGTATGAAACATTTTATATCGTTTTCTTTTAATTGAAACATCACAATTTATGTTCAGTACCAAAAAAAGCATTTGTTTTCCAGCTGTTTAAGAGAAGAAATGTTGCCACAGTGGAAGATGATGGGACATTGGAGGAAGATGGAATGGTTGACAGCGGTTACCTGGAGTCCCAGGTTAACAACATGGACCCACTCGTGGTAGGGGGCAAACAATCAAATTTCACATTTGTAAAACTGTAATATTTAAGTCAGATTGAACCATGACTGATTTGTGGTTTTACCTGAATGTGCAACGTTTTCCAGGGTGGGGTAATCTCTGAAGATATGACACAGATGATCTTTTCCAGTTCTCCTGAGCAGCAGCTAATAGGCACTCAGCGCTTTAGGAAACTCCTCTCGAAAGGTATGGGAACTGCTATTACTCTTTTTTGTTAGCTATTATTTGAATATATTTATTTATAGCTGTAGTTAGAATTAGCTCCAATGAATAGTTTAGTCAGTATTATATCCATCTTCTATCTACACAGAGCCCAACCCACCCATTGATGAAGTCATTGCTACACCAGGGGTGGTGGCTTGCTTTGTTGAGTTTCTGAAAAGGAGAGAAAACTGCACGTTGCAGGTAGAGTAACTCAGCAAATAAGCAACCATGCATAGATGATGAAATATTAGAGGGTTGACCAACAGACCATGATAAACAATTTTGTGTTTGAAATTGTTTTAGTTTGAAGCTGCTTGGGTATTGACCAACATTGCATCAGGTACATCTCACCAAACACGGGTGGTCATCCAGGCAGGAGCTGTGCCCATATTCATAGAGATGCTCAGCTCAGACTTTGAAGATGTGCAAGAGCAAGTAAGTATTTAAAGATATATCTCCTTTTCAACGCTTCCTTGGATTAGGAACTTCCCAGTGTGAGATATTGTTTTTAGAGTAACAATTACATTCAATATCCTGTCAAAACAATCCTATGTAAACATAAAAAAAATGTTATTGCAGCTTAATTGTGTAACTTCTGTAATGTTTTCACTTATCAGGCAGTGTGGGCTCTGGGAAATATAGCAGGAGACAGCACAGAATGCAGGGACTTTGTCATAGACTGTAACATTCTACCTTCTCTGTTGCAGTAAGTAACACCTGACTGATGCATCACTTTCTCCATACACTCCTCTTATTTAACAAAAACAACAGCCACAGTCTTTTGTTCTGTAAAAACATTTTGATGGAATTCCTCCTGCAGGTTACTGGCCAAACAGAATCGCCTGACAATGATGAGAAATGCAGTGTGGGCCCTGTCCAACCTGTGCAGAGGGAAAAACCCACCTCCTGACTTTAGTAAGGTAATATTTGGAGTGATATATTTTATCCTGATATCAAAAGCAGAACACTTTGTGTGCTGTCCACTCAACCTGTTGCTTTGCCCCATATGTTTTATGTCAGGTGTCCCCATGTCTCAGTGTGCTGTCCTGGCTGCTCTTTGTCAATGACACTGACATCCTGGCGGATGCATGCTGGGCGCTCTCCTACCTTTCTGATGGCCCCAATGACAAAATCCAGGCCGTTATTGACTCCGGAGTCTGTCGCAGGCTGGTGGAATTACTGATGTAAGTCTTTTGGTTTGGTTTCTGTTGTTTACAACACTAAGTTGATCCTAAACTGAGAAACCATTTTGTTGAAGGCACTCGGACTATAAGGTTGTATCCCCTGCGTTGCGAGCTGTCGGTAACATCGTCACTGGAGATGATCTACAGACACAGGTAAAAAGAAATAAGCTTGCTCAAATAAGTTGAACTTGTTGTGTATAAAGTGCTGATATTATTAATGGTTTCTGACTCGTAATCGAATAATATGTTATCTTATTGTTAAGGTGATCCTGAACTGCTCAGCGTTGCAGTCCCTGTTACACCTCCTGAGCAGCCCCAAGGAATCCATCAAGAAAGAGGCTTGTTGGACGATCTCCAATATCACTGCAGGGAACCGAGCACAAATACAGGTGTGTTCATGTGTCGCTTTTACATGTAAAATGTTGAACCCCGTGGTTTTCAAGTGAACATTTAAATTTTTTTTGTAGATGGTAATAGATGCAGGTCTGCTTCCTCCTCTGATCAATATCCTGCAAGTAGCAGAGTTTCGCACAAGAAAGGAGGCTGCATGGGCCATTACCAATGCCACCTCTGGGGGCTCTAGTGAGCAAATTAGGTAAGACCAAATGTTATTTTTCAAACCTAAATGAAACATGAGGTGAGGAACATTCAGTACTCTCTTTGAAATGATCGTACAAATGAACAGCAGCTTAATTACAGCAAGCTTTAATGTTGAGAAGAAATTAAATTAGAGCATCATGAGTGTGATGTGACTTCATTCACTAATAGATGGTTTGTGCATTGTAAAAGGTGAGCAACTACAACTTTTTCTGTTTTTTCCTCTTTAGGCACCTAGTTGAACTGAACTGCATAAAACCACTGTGTGACCTGCTCACACTTATGGACTCCAAAATAGTCCAGGTTGCTCTTAACGGCCTTGAGAACATCCTGAGACTGGGAGAACTGGAAGCCAAGATAGGAGGAGGCATCAATCCTTATTGTGCCCTCATTGAAGAGGCTTATGGTAGGTGTTCTAACATGAGGGTTTGCACAAAGAATTTTAAGTTAAATTAATTTTATTTTAATGAAATGTCACATGCTGTGCAATAGAATTAAACGACGAATATGCCACCATTGATTCTTTGACTAGGTTCACAGTTGGCACAGTTAAAGGTGTTAGTCGGGTAGTACCAGGATGTGAGGTGGCGAGGAAAAGTGGCCATCGCCTGGTTTCTGCAAGTCCTAATGTTTGACATATTGATTCACTAAAATGTGTTTTCCTGCTGGTCAGGTTTGGACAAGCTGGAGTTCCTGCAGGGTCATGAGAACCAGGAAATCTACCAGAAAGCCTTTGATCTGATTGAGCGCTACTTCAACAGCGATGACGAGGATGCGTCCCTGGCCCCTGCCGTGGACCTGCAGCAGCAGCAGTTCCTCTTCCAGCAGTGTGAGGCCCCGATGGAGGGTTTCCAGCTATAACACCTCATCCTCCCTCCTTGTTCCACCTTCATACTCACCACTGCTCATTTTCTCTTGCTCTCTTCCCACTGATCAAGGGCGGATGACAACCCCTGTTGATCGGCTTGTAATCATGATAATGTTACCATTACAGTAGCACATACAGTGTGAGCATATGTCCGACGTGGGTCGGGTTTTGCAGTCTTGTCAGCCAGTCACTCATTCAAGGCTCAACTCAATGTCTGGATTCCTCCACACCCAGAGTCCTCCAGTCTGCCCACCCCGCAGCATCTCAAGACTAGATTTTTCCCTGCAGCACCTTCCTCAATTCTTTTTCTGCATTCCGACCTCAGTTCATCTGAAATACAAAGGCTTTTGTCTATGTTCAGAAGGGAGTGTTGTTCCCCATCTCTGGTTCAGTGGGAGTTCTAGGACCGCTCTGCTTGTCTGATTGATGAATCAATGACTTACAAGACAAACAATCACAGACGCTTTTTTTTTTTTACCCACCTACAAGTGTTCTCACCTAAACACTGGACTGACCATGAGACGTTGACCGCACAACAGTGGTCACTGGACTGAACTGCCCACTGCAGAATTAAGTGGCCAGTCCCAGCCCCTGAGACAAAACTGACTAAAAAGCACTTGGATGACTCTCAACAAAAAAGGAGAATTTCCCACATTCTCTCTCTCTTTCTCCAGCCTTTGGATTGAATGACCACAGACTGACAAATCAGGAACTTAAAAATGTCACTAAGGGGAGGCGTTTGTCAGCGACAACAGGACATGCCCTGCTCGTGTTCCATCCTGGATCTCATATTATACATTCCTTTTTTTCCAGAAGTGGACTTTTTCACCTGCATAGGCCCCATCCTGAAGAGTTCAGACTGCCTCCTCCCTCTGGTGTGACATGAATAAACCCCATGGAACTATGGGATTCGGAGTCTTCCCTCGCACTGAGACAAATGAACAGACTTGGACAGACAAAAACAGACTTTTACCCTGGATTCTGTCCAGCAGCAAACCAGCGGGAATTTTATTGTCTTTCTATAATTTCATTTAATTTTCAGCACTTTAGTTCAGGACTGAAGCCTCAATAAGAGTTCTCGTAGTTTTTACTATTTAATTGGTTGATGAGACCACTCCTCCCTCCTCAGGTAGAGGTGCAGTGGTGTAATCTGTATCCTTGGTCCCCTCTGGTATAACAAGGATTATAATGTCCCTCACTGTTGTCCCTACAAACCAAGGGACTCCCAACAGATTCTGGACTGACACTGTTAGCACACTAATTACAATCAGTGGATAGTACTGCCTCAACAAAACTACAACAACAATATTGTGACAGAGTGGATTTTTTTTTATTTTATTATATCACAAAATTGGATGTTTCAGTCAGCATTGTATGCTGCTGAAGGTGCCATAAGTTTGACCCTGCAGAAATCCTTCCAGATAATTTCAACAATATAGATGAAAACTTGAAAAGACTGGTGATCATCTTAGTTAATCTGAATGTTTGTTTACCCAGTCCACTTTGAACTGCTTACTTTTGTTAAATCTCTGCAGGACATGACCAGCCCTACATGTTTGTTGTATTCAGTTTGTGCACCTGTTCCCTGTTATGCCATTTGCATAAAAGCTGTTTCATGAACAAAAAGCCTAAGTGAATCACTTTATATAGAACAAGAAATTTTAGCACCGTAATGCTTTAGTTCTATATTACTTTTTTTGCAATCAAAATGGTGTCAACCTTTGAACAATATTTAGTTTTTGAAATTGAAATAATTGAAGGTTTCTCTACAAATTTCTCTTATACTGCCATTTAGACTTTTAGCTGTATGTAACACTGTCCCTGTTAGGTTTAAAAACTACTTTAAAACTTCAATCACAGCACAAGATTTAATTCAATTTCACATACTGTATATTGGTGCCTACATAATAACCTACCTAACATAATGCTGTAGAAGCTTCTGGTTAAACTTATCCAGATGAGTGACTGGATCGCATGTGAAAAAGAAAACATGACTGGTCCAGCGCTATATCTGATTTAAAAGGATCTTCAAGAGGCTAAATGTCCGTTACTATGTCTGGTCAGACAGGGCGTTAGCAGCTTCCTTCTCCTGTCGTGCACTTTCTCTCAATCTCGCTTTTTTCTCTATGTTTGTGGCCATTAGAGACTCATTTCGACTTGCAGCCTGTAAACAGAAAAAGGGGGAAAGATAATCCCATTACTATAGGTTTTTTTAAATTGTATCAATTTAATGTATTGTTATAAATTAACAACCGGCTCACAAGTTACTCACCCGTTTTCCCAGTGTGCCCACCACCAAACATGCGACTATTGTAATGCCCATCATTATTAAGCACACCTTTATTCTGACCCTATTCCGGGAAGCGTCTATCATATTAGGCCTGTAACACAGAAATGGAAAAAGAAAATGCCATGAAGTTTATTTTATTTGATCATTTATTTGTTTTGATTTTTCTCATGTTTTTCTTGTGAGCGGAGTAACATAATGTCACATTTGATGTTTGTGTTACTTCTTTCATATATTAACACAGCACTGTAAGAGGTGGCTCTGCCGTGCATATGCGTGACAATCAAAGTCTTTTGTCACAGCAGCACCACAGATACAACAGATCTCTACCCTGATGACTGTTTCATTTCAAGCCAATGACAAACTCTCTGTTTAAACAGCAGCGGTTTTCATGGTAAATCTAATTATCCAGTGCAGTTCCTTGTGAAGAAAATTAACTTGTGTGCTGGGAGGTCTGGCCTAAACAGGAAGAAACTACTTACGACACAAGCTCTGGTATCTGGTCTTCAGTCTGGAAACGTCCTGACCAGATCAAAATCTTTTTCTCCAGGTTGGATGGTTTTAGGCCTGGGACTTTGAACGCAGGGCGTGACTCTTTACAACAATAGTGTGTGGTTATTAAACAGTGTGGGATAAAAACAAAGCAGATGACAGGGGCCTTTGCCAAATCTATTACAAAATGTTTGTGGCTGATCCTTCAAATATGATAAAAAACTAAGTGGACCAAATATATACCTTCTCTAAGAGGTTGGGCTTCAGGTTTGACATCCTGGTTTTTGCTGCACATTCCCCTGCTGCTCCATGTCCCTACAGCCTGTCTGCTTCTCTGACCTGTTATCGAAATGTATCGTCAGCATATTGGCGATGTTATGATCACAAACACAAGATATACTCAGATTCATTAAAGCAACCCAATCAATACAACTACATCTGTCCCTAGCTACTAGGACACATGTTTCCCCCCCTCTATTCCCGAACATCTCAAAAAGTACGATACAAGGTGGTGTGTCTGCAAATGTACTACTTCTATAATACATAGCAGTACGATTATGGCCAATGTCAACAAAACTTCGCTCTAAGTATAAATGAGAGTAACCGGTTAGTATTTTATATATCACGTAGAAAGTGACCCGCAGTACTAGGAACTAAAAAGTTGATTGAAAAAAGAGCTAAACAAACTGACTAATAACGACACAGTAATTAACACACTTGTCAGTGATACATAACAAAAAAACGACATGTTTTATAACTAGAAAAATAATATATGTTATATAACGAGAAAAATCATATCGTAAAAGTACGAACCTAAAATGGAGCGAATAGAAAGGCTGGATCTGACGAAATTCATATTTGTGATCACGAACAACCTATCAACCTGTGTTTTATCAGCTGCTAAAAGTCAGTACACAGGACCCAGTCATATAATTATAGCAGTCTAATGCTTTTGCCTGATTTAAAAAAATTAAACAAGGCACGTTACACCTTCTACAAAGTTAAGACCGCAAATGGACATATAGATAGAGCCAATGTATTAAACGGATAGTCTCCTTCTTTGTGTCTTTCTCCCTATCTCTTTTATTGGATAAGTCATTGAGAGGCTATAACGCAAGAAAATGTAATTCTTCTATTGAGGCACGTCTGTGGACGCTCCTCCTGCCTGGTGGCCACAGAGGACCCCGCTATCCACTATGGCGGCGCCCGGTGGAACTTTAAACTGTGAGGACTTTTCATTGTTTCAGGTAATCTAAACTACTCATTTTGAAAATGTATTACGGGCTAGTCCTGTGAATGACCCTCCTTCTCAGCAACTATGTGAGATGTGGATCAGCAGACTCGCTCAGGAAACCGTCGGCATGTGCTTTAACTTTAACCTTAACGAGGATATAAAAATAAATTTTTGGGCCTCTAACACTGTTTAACTGGGTGTTCGATCAGTTATCGATGCATAACTTCCAACGAGTCGTCCATAAATAGAGTTCACTCCCACAATATTACGGAATCACGAAATTCCCCATCCCCACATTCTTTTACATGAGGATGAAATGATACGAACCCTGACTAAATATGCACGATACAAAGGTTTGTGTGCTGTCTTTTATATATATTATTGTGTTTTTAAAGTCTGCATTACATTGTATTATGTGTGAATTGTGATTTTACTAGTTGATCCAAAGCTGCTGGCACCATCTGTATTTTTCTGTTTTTTTTTCCAGGAGGTACTAAAATCGATGCGAACTATTGATGACCGTATTGTCCATGCCCTGAACACCACTGTGCCTACAATTTCTTTCTCGGGCAAAGTGGATGCAACGCAAACATGCAAACAACTCTATGAATCCGTGAGTGGAGTTATCTTTTTCTCTCTCAAATATCTTTGTGTTTAAATTTCTTTAATGAGCTCCACAGTTGTCCATGAAAAATAACTTGCCTCTTCCTCTGCACAGATGATGGAGGCACATCTGAGCAGAGACCAAGCTATCAAGTCCTGTATAGCCCAGACATCTGAAGTGGTTGGAAAGCTGCGTGAGGAAAGAGCAAAAGATAGTGACAACCTGGCAATCAGCAAGCAATTAAGAAAGGAGCAGACTAAGGTAAGAGTTGTGTTTATATATCTGCTTTTTGCATATTTTATGTCATGTGATGCTGTACTTGGCTCAACCATTTTTCTTCATCACTCAATATCGTTGTTAGATTTTGTTTTTATGAAAAATCTGTCATTTTCTTTACTACCATAAACTTAACAGAACTGCTATCAAATGATTATTTTTCTTGAAGTGAAACAAATATAATTATCTAAGGTAAAGAAATTCCTAAAACATTATTTAACTTGTTTTCATTTTATATCCTGCAGTTAAAGCTAATGCAGTCTGAGCTGAATGTTGAAGAAGTAGTCAATGATAGAAGTCTGAAGGTAAGTTCTTCACTACTAGTCTTTTGTAACATTACAGCTTTCACTTGTAGAAAATGTCTATATTTGATTTTACTTTCCTCAGGTCTTCAATGAAAGGTGTAGAATCCACTACACACCTCCAAAGGTGAAGTGAAGTGAAATGAAGCCAAAGATCGAGGTTCTAATCGTGGCTGGAGATTAAAGTGTGAACTGGTGCTGTTGCTGAGGCCCGACTACAGGAAGTTCACCCTCCACACCTCTGTGACCTCCTTTCCAACATACTTTCAGTATATTCCTTTGTCATGATTGTGTTGCATTAGCAGTGCTGTAAAACACTCATCTCTGTCTTCTATAGTAAAAAATGTGCAAAATTAGTGTTTTTTTATAAAGACGCAACAATGTTTTGAAGTGAGACTGTGTTTGATTGATTTAGTTATTTCTACATCACAATGAAATTGAGTGATAAGCTTAAATCCAAACAGATTTGTTTTTTTACAGATTTATTATAAATCTTTAAGAAGAGAGTATTATCTGGGCCTCTTTTGATCTTTTCCACTACTGAACTCTATCTTCTATTATCTTAGCACCTGTGAAATGATTTACTTAATTTATAATATATTTAATTCTACATTCTTGTTAAAGTTACTCGTGTTTAGCCTTAATCCCAGCTAAACACAGAGAAAGGAGGAAGACCGAGTCTTGTTTTCAAAATTCCCTCTGAGGGCAATGAAATTTGCCCGGGATATAATTAATATTAATACGGGTAATGTATTTTTCTGACTCTAGAGGGAGCCACATGCAATATTTGACTCCGGATCCGGGCACCACGTCAAGAATGAGATGATTATACAGTAAGTTTACACTAACGCACATATTGTTTTGGGAAATGGGTTAATGATACATCTAGACTTCAGTAAAACCCAGATGTGGGATACAAACAATGAATTGTAATAATAACATATCTTTATATATTAATATATAAGAATAAATTGATAGATACTCTCTCTCTCTTTAGCTATATAATAATAATAATAATGAATGATCCAAATCATATACAGTAATGAAAAACATGCCAAAGAAGAGAGAGAAAATCCTAGATTAGAAAATAACTACAGTTTTATGTGGAGTGTATTTAGTAAAATATTTTCTCACATTGAACAGGGAGGAACACAAGTCACAAGGCAAGTGATGAGATGTGACTCGTGAGTAAAGTTTACCCTCTGTGTGGTCAGCACAGTGAGTCACTGAAGTTACTGAGTCACAGCAACAATGGGCTGAATAGACTGTTCATTTCCAACATTTTATCAGCACAGATTGCTGAATTTTTATGCATTCAGAATGTCCTACACTTGTGACAGCGGGGGCATTTGTTCACATTCAGGTGCATCAGTCAGTACGTTCATGCAGAGACAGCAGTGGGTGTGTTTCAGACGTGCTGTATGTAAAGAATATACAGGGTTTTTGTTGAGTTGCTTGAATTTTCAAAGTGAGTTTAGTCTATGGGTTGAGACATCACTTTTCACTATGGATGTGTCTGAGAGGAATGCAGAAGAAAAACATGTAGTCATCACCTACTCCTTCATTCCTGTGAGAGGAGAACAGCAGTCATAGTCACGTTGTCCTGTCTCACATGTACAGATACAAAACAATTCACATTCAGGTTCACACCTTTGTTTGGTTTAGAGTCAACATGTTATAGACTCAGGCCACTCCACTGTGGCTTTACAATATCTAATTGTTTTGGGATTCAGATTGTTTTATAATATAAAGGTAGGTGAGGTATTTTTTCTACTTCCTCGCTTTTGAATTATAAACTTCTCCTTTTGACAATCTTTGGTCAAAGTTATGTAAAAGGCTGATGTTTCAGCAGACTCTGACTCATTCCATTCCATGTCTTTCATGCCTCACCTCAAGAAAACTGAACTGTGTCTGAAACAACACTGTCACCATGGCAACACGATATGTATTCCTTACAAAAGATATAGTGTGAATCTGACTTCAGTGTTGTTTTATATTTTAATATATACATATTGTATATATGTCTAATAAGTGCAAAAAGCATCTGTAGTCCACTAGAATATGTATCGTTTTGTAGAATATTTTGTGTCTTCTATTATCCAGCCTTAATGTGTTGAATGTCTAAAACTTAAATATCAAAACTTTGGTTTAGTGAGTTACCCTCTTAACAGCAATTAACAACAACATGTTTATTTACTGTCAATACTCATATTACACAGCTCAGTATGTTATTAGGATGGATAGGCCCTCAGTTGTGATCCTTTTATAATAACAGGTTTTATACATAATTTTTAGGGTTGAAGAACTTTTATCTTTTGTTCTCAGGCCTCTAACTATGTCTAAAATATGTTTGAAGAAAAAATGTTTTATTTATTTTAAATGAGTTACTTGAATTACTGGGTTAAGTAATAAGTAAGATTATTGATCTGTTTTGAAACAACTTTCTGTCACCCTTTACTTGACATAGCAAATCATTGATGTATTTTATTGACATTCTTTCATCCTAGTTAATAAGTATCTTTGTTTTCCACAACAGATCTTTGCAAACTAATAATTGAACACAAATGTTACACTTTTGTTCATGTTTTTACTATAGACTAGTAATTGAACACAAATGTTACACTTTTGTGTCATTCTTATTCACAAGATTTAGATCCATTTTTGTTCATGTTTTTACTATAGACTACAGTTATAATGTAGTTCACTTCCTCTTTAATCCCAGTAGCTTTTCATTATCATCTATTTAAGCTTAGGTGTACAACACAACTCTGCAACAACAATTGTTTTGAATCCCATTTTTGTTTATTAAACCATCTTGTAAAAAAATTATTATTTCTACAATTCCTATTACAACTGCTTTAGTAATGGAGTTACACTGCATAAGATGAGCCAGGCAACATTAGAAGTGCTCGATGGGGTCATGGTGGCTCTTGCCTTCCTGCACATCACTCAGCTCAGTCTCTCCTCCATTGCATGGAAGGCGTTGGTAAACACGCAGATGAATGTGTTCATCACCTCCCACATGGACCTGCAAGAGTGCATAAATAAGTGTTTATGTTCACCTGATAACTGTTTGGTAAAAAATAATCACAGTTTTACCCTGCAGACTCCCCCCCCCTCCCAGAATAACATATAATCATAACTAATTTAAAAAGTATGCTTTCTAAGAAAAAAAAAGATTTCAACCTAATCATTTTATTTTTATTTCAAATAATGCCCAAATTCTTTAATTGCATCATCTACTTGACCCAGCCATAGTAGGAACTCAAGTGTATGCAAATGCAACTTTACTGTACTAAATGTACTACCTGCCATGACTAAAAGATTCTCAGGCCATTCCAAATGAAAAATCTTTATTTGGCACCTCCATCATTAAATACTTATTTCAGGTCTGTGTGTTTTGGTCAATTCCCTAAATTTAAACTAGCCCTTTAAAATTACAAGCTGCTAAAAGACAAACCACAGCAGAAGATACAGTGTAAATAATGACAGAAATAGCAGCGTCTTTAGATTAATCCGTGTGGTTTAATAAACTCAGTTCTGCTGTAGTATTTTTGATTCACAGTTTAAACAAAGGTTTAACTAAAGCTCCTTTCAGTTCAACTATTTTGTTTCTATAAATTCTATATTATATCATAAACCACATCATTATTCATGTTCTGATCACTTTGTAAACAATATTTACCTTGATGAAGTAGTTGGTACCGGCCACCACCTGCGTGGTGTAGCTCTTGGCTGTAAACACGCCGTAGTTCTTGCCTAACTTTGCCTCGACATGATTCTTAACCTGGAAGATCGGAAAGGATCACCATCAATATGACAGGGACGAGCTAAACGCCACAATTTATTGTTTGTTTTTTATTTAGCCTACTTACGCCGTCACATATCGTCTGAACCTTCTCGTCAGCAGCAACTGGATCGGAGAGACCACCACACATCATCATCACGACGATTTTTGTTGATTATTTGCAACAACTTTACAGAACAATCTGAAAGACTGTGAAGCGTTTACATAGGTTTTATTTGACTCATTGAGTCGCGTGACTATATGGAATGTACCATTTGTGCGAAGAAAAAGGGGGGAGAACGTAAATGTCGTAAGAAGCAATGCTGTTTAAATGTAGACGTTTTGGAATTAATCATTATCCAACAATTACTGAGTACTAAAATGTGTTTAATACCATGCAATGTTCGTACATTTAATATACATTTCCATTTATTTACATCCGACAGCGAGAATGTGTGAGTCCGGGGCGTGGTTTTGCGGGAAGTGACTGCGGAGATGGAACAATGAAGTTCATATTGTTGCAACTTTTTTCCACTTCGTCGTGGATCATAGGCTGTCGCACACTCTATCCACCCATGTTTCTATCGAAGATATAAAATGGGTGACTGCTGCTGGAGATACGGGACAGTCGTAGACTTCCGTCTGAAATCACTTATTGTTTTTATGAAAGAAATTATGTCGCGAGATAACGCGATATTGAGCGAGATTAAAGAAGCAAGTATTTTATAAACAATCACAGATGGCAGTGGTTACCTACTGTTAGAGCCCAGGTTTTTAAAAAAAACTACAAAACGAGAATTTAGAAACTTAGAACTAATATCGAAAACTGTGATTTATTTGTCCGTGTATGCAAGTGAAATTTTTAATTATTTTCTGTCTTTTTCATCAAATACACATCAGGTATAAACGTTCTATAAAGAGGTATAGTTTAGAACAGTAATTCCCAATCACTGTGCCGTGGCCCACCAGTGTGTCGTGAGAGATCACTGGTCTGCTCTGGTCATGGTCTGAAAATATATATATATATATTTATATATTGCATAGTTTTTGTTTGTTTGTCAATGTGTAACAGGCAGAACAATTAAATATTCGTTCGCTAGGTGGCAGCAGATGACTGTTTAGTTTTCAACTAAACAGGCTGAGATGTTAGTGAATTGAGATTATTTAAACAAAAACAACAAAAACAAAAAAAAAACGTTGCGAAACACTGGTTTATAAAATCCAGACCTATTTGTGAAGCCGTTTTTTAGCTGTGTGTATGAAAAGATGGGATAAGTTTGGAGCCACAAGTGTCCCCTAATTCTAACATTCAATCTGTGCCTAAAAAAGTCAACCATAATATCATGTGACCTTGACTCCTTGGTCAACAACAGTGAGTGAATGTGTAAAGCATTAATCTCACTTCATCATGTGTAAATCATAGCTTGTAATCTTGGGAAAGATACTGCATGTGGCCTTCCAGATAACTCATAAAACACCTGACTTGCTTTAGTCTTGAGTCTACCAGCAGACATTTGTTCAGAATAGTCGGTTCTATCTGAGCCACAGAGGGGCACCCTACCAGGGTGACCTGGACTCTAGATATATTTTATAGAAGGTGAGGAAAATGCTAATCCAATCTTTCTTAAATGACAAACTACAGCATTTTAATAATTGATATACACATGTTTAAATTATCCAACAAACAAATAACGCTATAATTAATTTTATAAAGTTTGCAATTTAATCCCAGTATGTATAAGGTGTGGGTTGGGGGAGGGGGTGAAAGTGGAAGCGATGCATTTAAGCTCATGCAGACTTCCTTGTGGACCTCACCCCATGGTGGAATTCTTACACCCACACTTACTCCACCCATGTTACAGACCTTAGACTTGAACCAGACAAACTGAGATAATAATCAGACACTATCTCATGAGAAAGTGTCTTATCATATGAGATACTATTTCATTTGTTGCTATCTCATTATATGTGCACTATCTATCGATCGATCAATCTATCTATCTGTCTGTCTGTCTGCCTCTTTGATATGTGAAACTGGCGACTGGGCGGTGAATCTTCTGGGTATAATTCTGGGTTGTGTTAGACCACCTCCTCCTGATGGTTGACAAAAATGGCTTCTTTAACTCTCTCAAACCATCTAACCATCTGTCTTCCCTGGCCAAAATGTGAACGTCGTTGTCCTTAAAGAAGTGTCTTTGGCCTTAAGGTGTAGGTGAACAGCTGAATCCTGTCCTCGGGAGTTGGCTTTTTAAAAAAATCTACACTGTGTCAGAGCATGTTAAACTAAATGTCACCTCACCACAGAGCATCAGAAAAGAACTGGATCTGATGAGAAACAAAGTCAGTTCAGACTTGTCAAGACAAATCACTACAAACATCCGTTTGCCTTTTGGCATCACATAATGATGTTGTTTTTCATCCAACAATCTGTCATATGATTTTTTTCAACATGTCTTGTTGTATGGAGTGAAATGAATAATAACAAGACACCCATAACAAAATGTGGCCAGGACTCAGCTTTGGGAAAACTTTTGGTCAACATAAAGTTCAGAAGAGCTCATGGTTTGATTGGACTCCTTCCTTACACCCTTTTCAAAATGATTTACCACCTAACACTAACTATACTACGAGTGAACATAACGTCTATGTTTATTACTTGTGCACCCTACATCATCAGGTTTTAGTCATCAGAAAGAACAGGATCAGACAGAGAAAGAGCATTTCATTGTTCTTTTCCTTTGTTCAAGAATCAAGAATATTTTATTGTCATGTGACATTGCAGACAAAGACGAAATTAAATGAAGTTGCGATAGATCTGGATCTGTTGCCAAATCCCTCCTACCAACAACAGGTTTATCCTGTTTATGTCCAAAGTTTGCCCTATTTAAAAACGCAATCTCTGAATGCCTCACAGACACACACAGGTACAAACAAGGACGCAGCCCTTTTATTTGTTATCGTAGTTTAGGCAGAAATCGAGTGTCACCATGCTGTGTGGAGGTGTTAACCCTGAGATGCCTGCAGATAAAAATATCCAGGAGATCTGTGACAAAGTAAGTAGAAAACTTTAACACTGGTGTTTTGGGAGTTTGGTTTATTTTTAATAATGTAAATTGTTATTTGATGACCACTCAGATGAAGAGTTATGTTGAGAACCACGCAGGGAAGAAGTACAGCGTGTTCAAAGCCAAGACCTACAGAACACAGCCTGTGGCTGGGACCAATTACTTCGTTAAGGTAAATAAGTTCTTACTAGTAACAGTCTGGGGTTTGTTCCACACAAACTGTGTGGATTTTAATGTTCTTTTCCACTGTGAATCCTGTTTTGGTGGGGTTTCTCATGGGTGGGGCTAATCTCTGTCATCTCCTGATACTCTGCAGATACTAATTCAGGGACAGAAATTATAAAAGGAAAAAGAAATGTAAACTAAAGTCAGCAATCCCATTTTTTCTTTTCAGGTCCATGTGGGAGGAGAAGAATATGTTCACCTCCAAATATTTGAACCACTGACATGTAATGGTGGAGAAATCACTCTATCCAAAGTTGAACTTACCAAAACACGCAATGACCCAATTTAATTAACCAATGAGATCTCACCACATTGACTATTGTCATTGCTACTGAATCCACTGTCTATGTAGACATCTGTGAGTGATTATGTGGCTTAAATAAATAAACGGAGATGTCATTCAACCGTGTTGTTATTGCTGATTGTCCTGTTTGTGAAACTGATGTTGGACCCACCCCTTTGCTTTCGAGGAACCACTTTGTGTCAGGAAAAAAATAATTCCACTTGCGAATCTGTGAGGTAATGATGTGTTCCTGTTAAGTGTGTAACAGAGCAAACTACTCCTACAAAGAGTTGACAGTTAGGACGTTAGGTGAAGGTAAACAAACAAAAAAGAACATACTTTGAAAGATTTTAATAACCGATCACGCCCTACACACAGTTCACGTACGAGGGCAGTACAATTGTACTTTAGCACCACCTTCAGCCGACGAAGTAGGCTTACACCCTCTGCAATATCCATCAAAAGTCTTAATTACAGTTACAGCGCCTTGTTTCTGGCATCGAGTGTAAACAAATTAGCTTTTATTTTTTACATAATTACACACCTGCTCTCCCGTGGTGGCATTTTACGTAAAGCCTTCTGTTCTCATAAAATCTTTAAACTACAGTGAGTTTACGGCTAATCGAACAGCTATGCAAACTCCTCTTGGCACCGCCCATCTCTCCGGAATACGTTCGACGATGGCCGGAAATAGGTCACAGAAGGAAAAAGGAAACCATAGTGTCTGTCAAGGCGGCACACAATTGAACTCAATTTACTCTGTTGGACAGCAGTGTGACCTTCAGGGCCTGTCATCCCACCTAGGTCGGTACAAAATATTATCGTCATAAAACCACCAAGACAAGCAGGTATGCCAATAATGTATCAGCCAATTAAAGCAGCACGACAGGTACACTGTTCTGATTGGACAACAAATAGTTTCTAGGACACTTCTTGCTGCAGAACTTGGGGTCAGGGAGTTTTCTACCTAATGAGCACTGTAAGACAGAGTTCAGCAGCGATAACAAGGCTGCACCGAATATATTGAGTCACAATGGGTGAGTTATACTATCAAAATGGGAGGGAGGTGTGTGTGTGTGTGTGTGGGGGGGGGCTCCCCTGAGGAACGACGAATGGTGCTGTACACATTAATCCTTTGTCTCGGCCTGATGGTTTTCACTCACCTGAAAAATTCTGGCAGCTGGCAAGATGCTTAAGAGGCTGAGTAATAATAGTAAACACAGAATGAATTACACCAAAAGTTATTATTTAAGAACAGCTAGCGTGTGATGGAATAGGTGTTGCAAACAGGTGCCTTGTGTGTTTTAAAAACACAGCTGGATTGTAGTGGAAAAACAACTGCAGGTTTTATAATTTACGGATCATTCAGTGAGGTCAGTCCAGGGCTGCCGTTTGTAGTCAACCAAACTCGTTGTGTTTGGCATTATTTTCAACATTATCAAAATGGGAGGGAGGTGTGTGTGTGTTTCAACATTGACATCTTGCAGATGTCTTGCACGACATTTGTTGTCATCTTGTTATGAATGTGTTTTGAATAGTTCCGAAAATCCGATGTGGTGTGATGTTGTCATCTTGTTATGAATGTGTTTTTAATAGTTCCGAAAATTGAAGGTAACGTGGTTGAAAAAAAAAGTGGTGTGGAAATGCATGCTCGGTAAAAACTATTAAAAATGATGCTATAGTATGACATAGTTATGGTCCAAAGAGTTTGGATTTTGTGGCTTCACTTTTGACTGATGGCGCTATTGACTGAACTACTGCAGTTTAATATCTAAACCCGTAGATGGCAGCAAAATCTTAACCTTCAGTGAAAAATGTTTTCTCCCATTTTTTTTCACTACGTGCTCTACGTGTCCTTTATCGTTGTTTTACTGATGCCCTCCTAAGCCTGACCTTCACACTGTGTGAGTTCATGTAGTCGTGAGTCATGTTATGAGTTATAACACTGTGAGAAACTGTTAGGACTTGGACAAGGACTGTTCATCCTTCACTCAGGAGGGATATCGACCCAGCGTCTGCCTACAGCCTCCCTGAAATTCCATCTGATGAGAATTAGTTGCAAAACATTATTAGTATATCACTGGCCCATGTGTGTGTTTGTGCGTGTGTGTTTGTGTGCAGGTCTGAGGCTGAAGGAATCCATTCTCAGTTTATGATCTCACACTGAATGGTTTTGGTTTATTTACAGCAGAGTAAATTTCCCACACTGACCATAAATCCGGTGTATGAACATCACTGCCTTCAAAGCACTTTAACTCAACCATTAATTTTTTTCTGTGAAAAATGTTTCCCTGCTTCAAAAGGCGAGAAATCAATTAGGCAACAGCAATTTCAGAAAAAATGTTGTTTTCATTCATGTGAGAGAGACTGAGATTGATTCTGAAAAATGCTGCATATAAAGGAAGGGAAAGGAAATCAGTATTTATTGGGCAGTTGTTGAATGAGCGGAGAAGCCGCTCTGCACACTAATTTTATGCCAAAGTCAAAATTGAGCATGTAGCACTGCTGTCACTTAGTCAAGTTTCAAATGAGAAGGACATATACTGGTTTCAGTAAATCCAAAGCAGTAAAAAAAAGCATCTGAAGTTCAGAGCTGCTTCCCAGCACTCTCTGTTCTACAGACCAGGTCATCAACCTCCTGCTGCTGATTGCTTTTAAGAATGCACATTAAAGGAAGCGTTGTAATAAAATCTGCATCATGGTTTTATTGCTGTCTGAGTTAATGATAGGAAATATCTGGAAACATGACTTATGTCAGCTGAAATATTCATGTACAGGCATATCCTGACTGTGCACGACAACGTATTTAAAATGTTGTGGCGATGAAGCTTTTCATTTAACGACTAAATGTTGAGAGGAAAAATAGCTATTTTATTTAATGACCATGCTCTGGTTTCTTTTGTAATTAATTGACCCGTTAAAATAACGGTTTTGCATCGATGCAACACGTTCTGTGCAACATCAGAGCCTTACTTTGACTTTGTTTGTAGTTTGGCGAGCTGGAAATTTGCAAAATGTCACAAACTCATCTTACAGTAAATATATATAAATATAATAAATATTTTGCCAAGGAACCCTCCCCAGTTTGTGTGAAAAACACATACAAGTGCTTCCATAACTTGGTGGTGTGTAAAGGAATGCATATAAAATGTATAACCGATTTTGGGGTCCCGACCCAGTTCTTGGGAACCACTGGGTTACAAATGAATGGAGGTCTTTGCAGAGTCTGCTACAAACAGCCTTCTCTCTCCTCCCTCTCTGTATGCGTGTGTGCAGCAGCTTTTACTTGAAAAGGAGGGAGTTGTGTGTGTGTGTATGTGTGTGTTTACGCGCGCGCGTGTTTGTACCGGAGCCACAGGACTCTGGTGCCTCGACTGTGGGCTCGTCTATACATTGTTTCCCCCGCCTGGAACCAGACTGACCCAATTCACGCTCTGTATGTTTTGCTGCCGCAGTTTTCTGAGCTCATTTGGGTTATTTTTACCTCTTATGTCACTTCTAGCCAACAGGACCCAGACTGGTTGAGGGTCACACACTGAGGGATGAATGAAGCCACGGGGCAGGGATCCGGCGCAATCCAAGCAGATCTGATAAAAAAGATGACTCAGATTAGAGGGATTATGAAATGAAAATACTTTTTTCTGTTGGTTTTTCCTCTTTCTTGTTGTAGTTAGTGATCACCCTCATCATCAGCTGCTGCTGCTGCTCCATCAATTGACGCGCAAAAGGAAGAAACCACCTGAGGTGGATGCGCGCCTCCTTGGGTGTAAAACCTGAAAGAGCGGTGAGATCTGGCTCGGAGCGCATGATTCAGTGGCTGGAACGGAGTCAAGGACTTTTACGAATACATTTCTTCGATTTATTGTTTCCAGTCTGAAGGAAGGCACAACATTAATCCATCTTCCAGCTTCTACACAGCCACATTCCCCTGTGCGTAATGGCACCGAGCGCTCCTCGGCTTCCTGCCGCTCGCCTCGCGAACCTGGACGCGGTCAGCGGAGAACTTTTCAATCTGTACGGATGATGCTTTTCCTCCATGGCATCTGATGAATCTTCCTCAAGGCAATAGTAACAGGTTTGTTTACTTTTCTGTTCTTTTTTCCCCCTAATTGATCTTCGTTTATTATCCAAATTCTCATCCATTACTTCTTTCACCATGGAGGCGAATGAATTACATTTTTTAAGCAATTAATCCTCTGTGTTAAACCACAGGGCTTGGTTTGACCCCAATCATCTTGGAGGCATGATTGTGAAGCATGATAAACGTGCTCTTGTCGCTATTCTTAATTAGATTTCCAGATAAAGACTAAGATTCCCCTGCAGCCGTAATGAAATACCAGACTTCAAATTATTCAATTTGATGAACCTCCCCCCCCCCACCAAGCACTTTCTGTTAGTTAACCTGCAAATTATTCCAACTTATCGTCATGTTAAATACAGCAAAAACTGTAAAGACTGCATCTTCTCCTGCAGCCAGCAGCCAAACACAATGTTGTGATAAACATCTAACAGAGTCAGAGAGCAGAACACAATGTTGTGATAAACATCTAACACAGTCAGAGAGCAGTTCTTGGCTCATCTGAGACTTAGGTCAATGAAAGATTGATTAATAAATAATTTGTAATTGTTCTGTAAGAACAAATCTATATCTCAAAGTATGTGGACCTTTTGTCCTTAAAGCACAGACATCAAATTATGTCCACATGTTATGACGTCAAGGTGGTCAGACTGCTGTTTCTGTGCTTCCTCAGGTTTACACAGTATGAAACTGCAGCCATTACTGGGACTGAGAGGAATAACAGACTGAAAAAGTCTCCTGGGTATCAGCCAGGTCTAAATATGTCCCTGCTCGCTGACTATTTTTCTACCCTATCTTGGTCACAGGAAGTGAAGACACTGGATAAGGTGCATCAGTGTGTTTACTGTCCACACGCAGGTGTGAGCGTCACCTCGGCACTCTTATCTGGACTCAAGCCAGATGCAGAGGATTGGGTAGAAATGAGAGAAAGATAGAGGAGCAGCCGGTAGAAGCAGAGCTAACCAGACCAGTGAGGGTGACAGCACAGAGTTATTACCCTGCCTGGCGAGCTAACCTCACTGACAGTGCTCAAAGGCATACAGCCAGCCACTCATTAAAGTTGTTTTCTCTGCTTTGTAGTGTGTGCTTCTGCTGGTTGTGCTTATTACTGGAAAGAAGGGGATGTGTTTTAAAGGCTGACTGGACCCATAATGGACTGCAACGATTACAAAGTTTGCGTTCTGCTGAGTCTTTGTGGACTTGAGGAGGCATCAATATGTGGCACACTGCAATACCTTTTAATCTGGTTGTGAAAACAAATACCTCTATCAGTATTCGTGGTTTTTATTTTGTGGTCATTGAGTAGCAAAGGTGCCAGGGTATGATTCCCAATAGGCAACTGTCCTGAAATGGTACTGTCTTCCAATCATCTGTAGGCTAACATTCTGTATTTCCATCCAAGTAATGTTTGTGTTGATTTTTATTGACATTTCAATGAAGTAAAAATGAACAACAAACAGACTTCAGGGACAAGAATAAGAGAAAAGATGGAAAACAAACAATGGAGAAAGGGCAAATAAAAAAAGATTACAACAATTCAAAATTCCCTCTGGGCATAAACACAATATTGTTAAGAATCTATACAATAATCTCTTACATTTGCTTTTACAAATACACTGTCTACTATCTGCTGCTGCCTGTCAACACAAGAAGGTGACCCAGGATGTTGTAGAGTTCAGGATGGACACATCAAACAGGGTTTTCTGTAGCAGGTACGTCAGTTGCATTAGCTGTTGTATTGACACTTTGATACTGGTTCTACAATAATGATCAGAGAGTGATACAGAGGTTAAAAATGACTGAACTGATAAACATTACATAGTGGTTTCCCAAAAGAAAATGTGTTCAAATGTCAAACACTGCAGGGGAAAAGGCTGAATTAACATTTTGTCTCGGCAAAAAGAAGAAAAAATCGGTCCAAAAATAAACAATTTATGATATTTGTTTATTTTTTAAATATTTAGCCAGTACATTACCACATACATTTGAAGTGAGCAATGTTCAGAGTTCAGAAGAAAAATGTCTTTGAGCTAAGTGTAAAAAATGCTGTCAGATCTTATTGATGTTTAGATATCACACTGTGTCTTTGTTGTAAATACAAAAGCAATACCTGGGTCATCTCTTTTATCAAATAGGATTTTTCACTGAAAGAGAACGGGGTGCAGTGACTGCTCATACAGGTTGGGTGTGTAGTAATGTACTGTACGTATATCTGAATGGGGAACTGATGATTCTTGAACAACATCTTGTCTGTCTATACATGGAAGTTAACACAGCCATATGATATATTTCTTATTTTGGTAGGTCAGCCAAACATCTCAACTCCAATGTCACCTGGGCGTCTCCATGGCTATGTTTAGTAGCACAGAACAGCCCTGGAACGTGTCGGAACGCCTCGGATGGGACGAGAAGAACGAGAGTGCAGAGGCAACGGGGCAGGAACAGACAGAGCACAACTACTATGCCATGCTGTATTCTCTGCTCATTTTGGCCATTGTGTTTGGGAACGTGCTGGTGTGTTTAGCTGTGCTACGAGAACGTTCCCTGCAGACCACCACAAACTACCTGGTGGTCAGCCTGGCTGTAGCTGACCTGCTGGTGGCTCTGCTGGTGATGCCCTGGGCTGTGTACCTGGAAGTAAGCTTTTTGTATCATTACAACATTCCTTTTATTTTCACTTTGATCTATATTTCATTAGGTCATTAATTTAATTTCGGAAATGGTTCGCATTTTAAAGCAAGGCCGTGGTTCTGGCCTGTCTTGTCTCTAGGTAATGAAAAAAAAAAAAACAACCGTACAATTTTATAGAACTCTTTTCATCAAGAACCCTGACAGAGAAAAGAACATTTGCACCTTTCCTTTCTAACACTAATAAATAAAACAGAACCAGTGTAGATCATTTTTGCAGGTAAATCACTGTAATATTTTTAGATGAACCATTTAATCTTTCCTGAACATTTTAACTCAGATTATTCATGTCCTTACTTTTCTGTCTGATATGTTGCGCTGCCCTGCAAACTTTCCAAATACCCCTTTAGCAATCATCATTTCTCCCTGTGGTTACAGACAGTTACAAAAGCTGAGGTGCAGATTTTTAAAGGTAAATAGGGAGATGAGGGGAGAAAAGAGTTAAACGGAACAAGGTAAAGAGTGAGAGAAAATGTGGACCTTCTCCAACAAAGACATAGGAAAGTGGTGTCACGGTGAAATAGGATGAAGGTCATTTGTAACTTATTACATGGTTAGATGTGGGTGATGGAAATGCAGTAATGATGATGGAGAGTAGTTTAGATAGTGCCTTTTTCTATCCCTGCAGATTATACATAATAAGTGAAGGATATATTGAATATTAACAATGACTTCATCTCCTGGAGGTAATTGACTGAACAACAAATTATGAGACACTGGCCTATACCTGTACATCTAATTTATTTTCATTTCATCATTACGGCTTCATGCGTCTTTGTCATTCTTATTTGCACATCACACAAGTCACTGGTGTGACATGTTTTGTCTTCTAATTGTTAATTTTCTCCTGGTGCCACTTTCTGCTGAAGATATCTATTAGCTCTCCCAGTGCTTCTGACCCTCAGGCACCTGCATTCATCAACATTAATAGTCCACCACACAGGGAGTGTGCAGATAAAGATGTTTGTAGAGAGCTGCGTGGTTCAGACCGCCTATATTTTCAGGGAGCAGCTGTGTATTACAACATGTGGATACAAGTCCATGGTGTTTGTTTTAAAATTATAGTCCTACATTAGTTTAACTGTATATGTAAACCTGACTATTTCTTGCCAGATTAGAAGTTGTTTTAGGTTATTTTTTAAAGCTTCATGTGGCAGCCTAAACATAGCATTTAAAGAATTGGGGTTTTTATTGATCGCAAGTTCAAGGAAAGCATTAACACTCCCCTGGTCCACAGTAACAACTGCCCACTGCTGTACTGCCTGTACAGTATAAATCACTGGAACGTTTCATGAAGTTACTGTAAATGCAGGGAGAAAATCTTTACTAGGCATTTTAATGGGGACTGGGATCAGAGCTTTAGCTGAGATGAATCTTACTGTATGCAGGAGATTTAATGGCAGGTCAAGGTTAAGTTATGTAACCTGAATAAAACGTAATGGTTCAGTTATAGCTTTAAGTTATCATGCAGGAAATTATGCTGTCTGTCTGTGCTGCAATTTTCCTTTTTCCTGAGAATGGGATATTTCATTTGATATGCAGGTAGAGACCTAACATCCCATTAAGGGTCAATACAAGATATTATGACACAAGTACACGAATAATACTCATTACATTAGATATGACACAGGGGGTAGGATGAAGATATTAAAGCCTGCATATGTTTGAACAACCTCTACAGCCACAGCGTACCCCAACACTAACTGAGATCTGATGTGAGGGACACCAGATTACCTTGTTGTGACTGCAGGGTTGATGGTTTGCTTCTATGTTTTTGGCAGGAACACTTGGAATCACTATTCCTGGCAGTAGTAGATTCCTGTGCCCTTAAGTAAGCCACCTTATCTTTCCGTGGTGCCATTTGTCTCTCGGGGTATAAATCTGAAGGATGAGGGTGTGTTGGCAGCAGTGACTAAGTGTTTGTTTCTCACAATCCAATATGGGTTTATTCATGCTCATTAGTTGTGATAACCTGACCATGGAAAAAGCTTATTTGTAGTGGCTTATTTAGAGTGGCTTCATAATTAAATCTGTCACAAAGATAATTAGATTATATAAATTTACTCCTGAATGTCCCTTCTCCAACTCTGGGTGGAATTAGAGCAACACAGTGACAGGTAATTCTTCTAAAAGAGTCTAGTCCAGCGGTGACCAAGCAGTCAGAGGCTAAGAGCTACAATCTTACTACAAAGAGCCACATGATATACATGGGCACAAATCACTTAAAAAACTCTCTCACTCTGTGTTTATCTTTGTATTCTCCTTTTTTGCAATTTTGAGATCAAATTTGGCAGGCCTGCACTACTCAAGTCATTTGTGTTCAGATTCACGTACCATAAAAAAAACACAAACAAATCTGACATGAACTTAAGAGTTGCATGAAACTGGGCAAAGAGCTGCATGAGGCTCCCGAGCCACAGACCACTAGAGCTGGAAATTAAAGTTGCTTTAATAACCAAATATGGCATCTTGCCATACTTGTGTTGACATTTTGCAGTTAACTAAATTTAGACTTGATTTTGAATATATGTATATATATATTTTTATCCCTGGTAGCTTTAAATGATCATTGCTGGTGTAGTAGTTTAGAAAAGAGAATGGATTTACAGTCTCAAAAGGCAAGATTAGCAAACATAGTTTTGAGCCTTTGGTTCAGTGGTGAAGTCACTTCTTGCTTGTCTTTCCTGTCGACAGGGGAAGTGTCTGTGGTTGGTTAATGAGGCAGGGGGCACTGCTGATCAAGTGTCACCCTCACACTTCGGAGGAATAAGCTGTTCTTTTTTTGAGGATTTCTGGTCAGACTAAGGTTTTGGAAAGTAAACAAAGTTTTTCCAAAGTCAGTGTCTCTCTTTTACGACATGAATAGAAACACGAAGTTAATTAAACAGTATCTAACTGATCAAGCCCCTCCTCTCCATCTATAAATAGAGATATTTTTATTCCCACACGTTACAGTGCGTAGATCACATGCTCAGACAGGCAGTGTGAGTCAGCATACACACACGTGTGTGTGTGCCTTGTTTCCTTAGCACTGACTGAGTACCACTGTCATTGAGCGTACAGTATTACCGCAGTGTGTTTTTTTTTCCTGGACTGTGTGACCTTTCAGATATTAGAGGAAAATATTGGCTATTAGAGGGATGTACGCCTAAAATGACATTTTCCTGGCTCTTTCTGCTTTAAATAAGGTTCAAGGTAATCAAAGTGCCACTGCTATGATTTACTGCACAGCGCTTCCATACAGTTTGATCTTCTGGAAGACAGATCAAAAGAGAACGGTTTGAATCAATGCAGCTTAAGCTAAGTAATTTGCCACAGTATACCGCAACATTTTTCATGGTAAACCTTAAAGTGAAACCAAGAAGCAACTATTTGTTTCCCCTTTTTGGAGGAAATTGTCAATCAATAGTGTGAACCAATCCCACCCTCAAAATCAATTTTTCAAATAAATCAATTTCTCTTTTTTTTTAATTGAGTTTTGTTGCGTGTACTTTTTTTTTAATCACTTCGCTGGTCTACAAAACTACAACATTTCTATATGTTTTAGGTGTAGACACAGTAAAACACTGGAGACAACAGAGCAGTATACTTTCTTTTAGTTTTCTCCTCATGAAACACACACATCTCTTACTCCCCGCTCTGATACACAAATCCTAATGTGAAGCTGTCGGTTCTGTTCTTCCCATTCACCTTCAGCATTTACTGTCGTCTTGAAAACCTCAGATTTCCAGTGTCTCTTAGGAGGAACTGCTGATCTACACTTATATCAGCCCAGGTGAAGTTCCTTTAATCGTAAAAGCTCCTGTTTGTTCAGGAGCCAAATGTCTCTCATATGCAGATTTTTACAGCTTGATTGCTGAGGTGCCACATGTTTGAGTTTGTGTGTGTGTTCGTGTGTGCAGGGGTTAGGTGCTTCACACTTCACGGTAGAGCAGATGATGTGAAAGATGTGCAGTTTTAATGAGTCTGTCTGTCCTCTGCAGGTGGTCGGCGGTGCCTGGCTTTTTAGCCGACTCTACTGTAACATCTTTGTCACGCTGGATGTGATGATGTGTACCGCCAGTATACTTAACCTGTGCGCCATCAGCATTGACAGGTGAGTGTGCAATTTGTGTGTGTGTGTGTGCATGCATGCATGTGTATACACCATTTTGTTTTGCTGGAATACTGACTTGTCCTTGTAGGGGTCAATTCTGATCCTAATGAGGCTGAACTCCATTATAGAATGATTAAGGTTTGGATGTCATGCAGTAAAGGGATTGAGTTTTCAAAAGGAAATGTGTTGTGAGGGCACATTGTGACCTTACCAGAGACACTTTATTAAAACTGAAAAATCGTTGGCTATATTGATAATTTTGTTAAATATTCAGGGGCTAAATTCTAGTAAGTTGTCTTATTCAACTCCAGCTTCCAGCTGGGTGTTGGCAACTTTTCTGGCATCTTCTGCAAACCTCGAAGCCTTTCCTGGGTTAGATTTAGTTTGATCTGCGTCCATCACTAGTCTTTCATAAGCCATTTCTCATGTAGTTCCCTTGTTTAACTAGATCACATTACACATGGTTACTTTCGGGATAATTCCAGCATTCCCTGCATTCATTTTTTTTCTTATTTGTGTTTCTTGGTGGACTAATAAGAGTTTGACACAATATTGTTGGAATATTTGCGCAGATCACACAATTAGCCAGTATTAGGCATTTAAACCCTCAACCTGAATACTACATGCTTTGTTTTCTGTATTTCAGGGCATTTTGCTATTCCTGCTTGTTTCTGATGGGGAAGTCAAGTGTGTTAAAGTTAGGTTTTGACATTCAGTGCTAATAGGTGAGGTGACAGATTAGGTTTCGTTTAGGTTTTAGGAACATGGTTAGAAGTGAATGCCATGGCTTATCAAGAAATACTGTGCACCAAACCACTTGCCCACCTCCATCCACGTCTTCTATTCCCATTTTGCAGTTCTCGTTGCCATGACATCACTGTATAAATATAATCAATTTTGTGGGTTTTTCTTTACCTCAGCTCATATATGTTTCAAAACTTGCCTGAGAGGTACATTCTCATTTTTCTTCCTATTATACCTTGCCCACATTCTCATACAACTGTTTGTAGCAATGTGCGCATGCTGCAACTTTTTATGGAGGAGCAATATAAAAAATCAGTTCAACTGTTCTCGCGGAGGTGTTGGAAACCTTTAAGAGCCACAAAACACATCGAGGAAAGATCTTTTGAACCAAGTGCAATTCATGTGTTGAATTGGATTTTAATTGTCTGTAACTGAACTCCAAGCCCTCTCACATTTACTGACTCAGTTTTATTGGTGCTCAAGTTATTTCTGGTTCTAGTTTACTTTGTTTTTTTGTGTGAAGACAAAGACAGTTTTACAGTCTGTGGATGATTAATTCTGACCTAAACATTTTTATAAATCTTTAGAGTCTTTACATCGACATTAGACACGCAGGACTCCTTATCTGTACAGGCCTTTATTCCAGTTATCTCTGCATGTGAACACTGTTAGACAGGAAGACAAATTGTTAAAGATAGTTTTCCTTACTCTGGTGAAGAGCGTTGGGTTTTTTAGACCTCAGCATGTTTTATATTTGCTTACTGTTTGTTTACATCAGTTCAGGAGCATCTGCATCAGATCAAGCCTTTCTTTCCTTTTTCTTAGGATGAATACTTACTTATATTTGCATTATTAATTAGCTTACTTCAATTCTCATGTCATGTTTATTATTTAATAGCTCTTGGGTCAACTCCTGGGGATTAATATAGTGCATACAAACCACTTTAGATGTATGTCTTTGGACAGGAGCCGGGGAATTGTGTCACTTTGTGGGAAATAAGACGTGAGATCATATGAATGATAGGAATGAAATCCCAACAAGGCTTAGTTTTTGTTAAAATGTATTGTTTTCACGAGATTCTGGAAGTTTTTTTTACATCCTGTGTCTGTTCGTATCTTCTCTTACAACACTTGGACAGTTTAAAGGAAATTAGTTCCACATCAAGAATACAAGAAGTATTCATATATAATAATAATAATAATTAATTTTAGCATTCTTAGCTCAGTCAAGTTGACATGATGAACGGTGATGCATTCACTTCTCCCTGGGACTTTGCAATGTGAACTTGCTATGCTGTGTCATAATTTAAATTTTACGGAAAAAGGTGGACCACAGTGTTTTCTGAAGTGTCGTGGCAGAACTCTAACCTCATCGTGTTAGATCAAATTAATCCGAGCAATAACAAAATCCCCAGCACTGCCTTTTCAGCTTCAGCTCCTCTGTGGGATACTGTGGGAGGCTTCTTCATACTCTTAGGGCATCTCTTTCAGATGACATGACACTGCTGCAGCAATATGTGGCATATTTGCAAGATTGATTAGCTTGCAGTGGCTTAATGAATATGTGAAGCACATATCTACGCTTGCGTTTGTCTTCATACCTGCAGGTGTCGATTTTTGTCCTGCTGTGGATTAAGGTTTAAAATACATAATTTGTTTTGGAAGATTTTGAGGTCTTCAAAGACCCTGTGGTTCTCTGTGATCGATCATCAGAAGAGTGAACAACATACTGCTACAGTATCACATGCTTTTGGAGGTGTAAAAAAAAAAGCAAAGCACCAGAGGCTTCCTATGCTATTGATAGTACATCAGCCTTTTTGAACACATCGTTTTTTAAATAATTTCTAAGCGACGGTTGCTATGATAAAAGGGAAGGGTTTTTTGGCAAATAATTTGTTTTAGGAGCCTTGACATTTCCAGTTTGTGTAAATGTTTAACAACAAAATTGATCTGAGTCTGATTATTATTAATTCCAGAGGACTATTCTCTGGTGGAAACAGGATCCTATGAAATTAACACTCCTTTGTTTTTTTTTAGTTTGAATGTCATTGAAGACATTATCACCTCATTGAGCTACTTTATATGATAAGGAGCAGTCAACACTATATAATCTCCTCTGAGCACGCTGTCTTCTCTGATATAAGTGTCCAATGTTATCAGAGCCAAATAATGCGTTTGACAGTTAATCTGCTTCTGCCTGCATACATTGAATGGGTCTCTCCATACTCAATGTGACACAAGTGTTGGGTCCATGGGTTAATCTGGATGCAGCATAACATTCTGAATGCACCCCAGTTGGATATTATAAACAACACAGATTAATCACAAATATATTTTGCATTTTACTTGTAATTCAGATGAAGTGCAGCCAAGCAGTGAAGTTATTGGACTTTACCTTGAGCTCACAGTGGTAGGTTAAGCAGCATAAACGGATACAGTATGTTTAGCAAACACAAAATACATGCAGAATTTTGCCAATACTTGACTTCTCAAAGTTGGTGTCACTCAAATGTGTCAAATTATACTTGTGGACGCCTGGTGTTTCAGTAGTTATTGTCTTAATAAAACTGATACAACACTTGTGTGTTTGGAAACCGCCGTATGTTAACGTTCAGGCAGAAGGGTAAAAATACATGAGCAAAGCTCCAAGGGAGCAGTGTTTGTAGAGGGTGTCTGTGTCTGTTTGCCTCCAGGACTTACCCTTCATTTTACCCAAGAGAAGCCACAGAGTAATTACTCTGATGAGGACCAACAACCGTGGCAGTTTTCTGGCTCTGAACAACATAACTTCACATCAATTTTGGGTCGGGGTCTAGTGTAATTGCCGTCACTTCTGAGCCAATGCTGAACTCTTTTCTCCCTGGGCTCAGTACAAACCTTGGATGCTGATTCAGTGTTAAACTAAAGCTCCACTTGTATTTATTGCTGAATACCCAAATTGTTTCCAGATAGAAATGCCTGGTTTGCGCCTCCATTCTTGGTGTGCCTATTATTCACTCTCGGAGCAATGATCACCAAAGATCAATTTTCTTTCAGGAGACACTCTCTTCTCTCTAATTCTCATCCCGGGCCACATTAGCTCCAGCCCCTTTGTTCTGATGTCACAGCCTATCCTGTGCCTTTTTGTTGAACCTATACTGACACTAATCACTGTCTGTGTGTGCGTACGCATGCATGTGTGTGTGTTTCTGCAGGTACACAGCCGTAGTAATGCCCGTCCTGTACAATACCACCCATCGCTCCAGGAAGAGAGTCTTTGTTATGATTGCGACAGTGTGGGTCCTGGCCTTCACTGTCTCCTGCCCACTGCTCTTTGGTTTCAATACTACAGGTCGGTGCCATAACATTTTAATTGTATCCTTCTGTTGAAGTGACATAGGCTGAGACATAAGAAATACATTTTTTTTGTCTCTTTTTAGAACATGCCATGCGTTAAAGTTGTATAGTCTCACAGACTACAGACGCCTAGTTGCACAACATTTACTTTCCCAGTCCCAGGTTTTTGTGACTTGCATAATTTAAAGGGTAATTAAAACCCATGTAGGCAAATCTTTAGTAAATATAAAAACTAAATATAAAAACCAGATTCGTGATCAGATTTGTGCTCCTTTAAACTTAATATCCAGAAGCACAGATTCATGACTGCCCGAACAGAATCCCAAACATTAGTCAATTACACTGTGGATCTATTCCTGGAGATACAGGCTTTTACACTCAGTGACAAACAATGGCTAGTGATTGCATGAATCCTGCGGTTTTGTCAGGATGCAACCATGCATTAGCATCAGCAGGATGTAATAATGGGTTCACATTAGGACAAAGATTCTTTTAACATTGTTTCACGGTATTAGATTGTGAAAGAGCAGCAAAATGTTAATGCTCGACAATTATATTGCAATAAAGTGCATAACTAATTGCTGAATAATGTGATACCTAGAGTTGGCCGTAGGTTAGGGGTGGGAGGAATGGGGGGGGGGGGGTTCTGGGAAAGGGGGCTGTCTGTGGTCATCACCTTCTCTGTGTGCATTGAGGTATGTGATATTGATCCAGAGGAACGTCCAGGGGAAAGCAAATCACTTTTTAGTTTGTTCACATCAGTGACATGAAATGGTCTTTTCACAGCTGAGGCTGTGCCTCACTTCAATTTACAGCACAATTACCTCAAGTGATGCATATTTAATTCCCATATTTTGATGGAGAAATTGGTCCATACACTATGATTGTTGTGTGAAATGGTCTCCTTATGGTGAATTTATGAAGCAATTAGAGTAATATTGAATCAGTCATGGACACAAATATGGCTGTGATTTCACCTCAGTGTGTTTTCAGATTATGTAGGAGGACAGACCCTTGTGGTCATTTGGTAGATTGATATGTGACTTCCCCGGTTATTCCAGATGACCCCATGGTGTGCTCCATCTCCAACCCTGACTTTGTGATCTACTCCTCTGTGGTTTCCTTCTACCTGCCATTCGTTGTCACTCTACTCGTCTACATCCGCATCTACGTCTTCCTCAGGAGGAGGAGGAAGAGGATCACCTTTGGCCAGTCCAGTGGAAAGATCCAGCCAGGAATGGCTCCTCCTTCTGTGGTGAGATTATTGCTACAGTTTTAAATAACTGATATTCCTATCATTGTGTTTTAACTGCCCAGGACTGAGAACGTTATTTTAGGTTCTCTGCTTTTTGCTTGTCTAAAAATATGGCAAATGCATTTATTTTCAAGCAGCAAGTTTCACCTTTGACCCTTTAGGTGAGGTCAAAGGGTTGCTGGGCAGCTACACCACGTTTCTCTTTCTCTTTTTACAACATATCAATCTTTACTGGAGGAAAGCTTAGTGACACTTGTGTTGTGTCCAATTAACCCGGACTTTTTACGATTAAAAACCTCACAATCATTATTTTTACGTTTGTCATCGTGACTGATCTCAGATCGTGCTATTATTTCAACAGTTAGCGGTGGTTTTACGTTTGTCATCGTGACTGATCTCAGATTGTGTTATATTTCAACATGGATTTATTTGTTGATGTTTCATTTCATTCAGCATTCATTTAAAAGCTTGGATACCCCAAAGCTCATTTTATATGTTAAAAGACATATTTTAAGTAGGAATAAAATTGATAATGAGGTGAATAATTTCACTATTCACCTCTGCATTTATCTTCCTCAATGGAATTAAAGCTGAAAAAGAATCTTTATCAAAAAGCTTTGAGTTTGTCTGTAGAAGCACTGCAGGTCATTTCTTTGTTATTCTGACAAGATATAAGAGGATTATCAAACCACAGACTTGGGTTTTTCTTGTGTTTACAGAGTTGTGTTTACTTTCTGAAAGTGTGGTTTGTTGATGGTTAAATATTTATATATAACTATGTATTCTGGATGAGCAAAGTCCTCCTCCCCTTCTACTTCACCATCTCCCCTGTTCTCTCTCTTGTTTGTATATATTCGACACATCTTCAAATGTGTATGGCTCTATGTTGGGCCAGGTTTTTATTGTAGGCAGTATGCATCTGATAACAGTTACACCAGCACAGACTGTGACACATAGCTGTAATAAACAAGACAGATACTGTCAGAAGCAGAAGCTGGAGCCGTAGCAGTAAAAACAGAAATTCAATGGATGCTACAGAAGTCACTAACATGTATGGAGGCAGATGCCACAAGAAGCTTGGGATTTATTTTTCTATTAAAGTGGGGAAAAAAATGGACTCAGGCTGAAGATAAAATGTAGATGTTCTGCTTGTTTTTTACAGTAAGAAGCTGGCACAGTGTCAGAGTGTAAAACGGCAGCAGTTTTAATTAAACTGACTTGTCAGGCCTAAAAATAGTTTATTTCATCGTCAACACTCTCCCTCTCTCTCTCTCTCTCTCTCGCTCCCATTCTCTCTTTTGAAGATCATTTCTACAGTTTTAAGGAAGAAATACAGGATGAAAACAGTTGTGTTTGAGTGCATCTACACTATGTATGAAAATTGCTATGCTTATAATGGCACAGGCTTCTAAAAGGTTTCTTCACGGTCTGACGTGAAGCATTTAGCTGGGTGGATTAGCAGGAAGGGATTGTGACTGTTATATATGTGTTTAATCACATCCTAATACAAAGAGTAGAATGTTCTAGCTTTAGCATAAGCCTTTTAAACTGTGCAGGAATCAGACAAAGGCCTTCCTGAAGCCTTAATGGTGGAAGGGTTGAACAGGAGAGTGTTTCATTACTGCCTCATTTATTTATTTGTTCTCATTCCGATCCTCGAATTGTATTTCAGTGAGCAAAACCAAATGCTTTAGCTTGTTAATTCCTAATTTACAAAGAAAATAAAAATAAAAATTCTACATTAAGTTGTAAATCTGACTTTCAAGCTCATGATCAAATGTGGTATTTACTCTAGTCAGAATCCTGGAATTAGAGCCGGTATTATTTCTAAGGGTAAAGTCAAATATTGTTTTTTACAATATGTCAAAAGAACAAAAAACAATTTTGTGATCCTGTTAAAAATTCAAGAACAAACTCTGACTTTTGATTTTGATTTATTTGCTTTACAATTTGTAAAAAACAAAACAAAAACGCCATGAAGCGTCCGAAGGTCTTCTTGCTATGAGTCACCAGCTTGAACCACCACAACAAAATGCTGCCCTGAAAACCCAGACTGCACAGATCTAATTGTGTGAGGACGTTTCTATAGGTTTCAATTTCTTTTCAGCCTCCAGCTCTGAAGCAGATAACAAGGTGGGTGAAGCCAGTTTGTCCTTTATACACCAAATAAATGGTTTTAAATCATAAGAGAAAAAGACCTCTTATTTTTGTCTAGAAGTCTTAAAGAAAGCCCATTCTTTTTAGTCTTTAGTATTTGTGGGGACAATGGTGGGGAATGTCTCATTATTTTCTTTTGTAACTTAAAAACGTAATGTTGGTGGGGAATGTCTCATTATTTTCTTTATGGAGTATTTCAAAAAATAATATGGAGCCAAGACAAAAAAAATACTAATCATGTCATTGATTTATCCCATTAATCATGTTTTGGACGATTCTGTGATCTCAAATTTAAGTTGGCTTTTGATGTCATTTTAATTTTTGACCTACAACATGGTTTCAATTTGCATGATAGCCTGGATCCACATTTTGGCACTATAATATCCTTGCATGACATTTTTTGGCACAAATTTATATAAGATTTGCACATTTTCAGTGACCAGTCTGTCAAAGACAAACATTGTCCACTGCTGTTACAGTAACATGAGTAAAAAACAACGTTCCATAGACTGAGGGTATTGATGTAAACAACAGAATCATCGACAATGTGCCAACTGAGGTTGAACGTGTTATCACGCAGACTGTATATGAAGAACACACAATCCATATGACACAAGTGGCACAACACTGGGAACCATCTACTTGTCATGTGAGGTGATCTGTCACAACTCAATATCCCCTGTAAACACCTGGTGTGAAGCCTCAATTACTGATGTGAAATGTAAGAAAGATGGAGACCGTGTTTCTGTGCGTATGAATGCAACCATGGGCAGTTGTGTTCAAAATGAAATACTCTATGTACTTAATCATCTCCGGTGACAACAAACCTGGAGAATATGACTCAGGCCGACATCGTGGCCGTAGTGAGGCCAGTTAAGCTGTCATTAAAATTGACACTGTAGCCTTTCTCCACTCAGCATTTGTCTTTCCCCTCATCTCATCCATAATTTCTGTACCTACTCAATTTATACCTGTCACTCAGTAACCCTTGACAAGTCTGCAGACCCAGATCTACGTTATATTTAGATCACGGAGTAATTACATAGTCATTATTCCATCAGCGGTGCTCGTCCATTATTTTTATCTGATGTGTTCAGATTAATTCCATTTTCGGCCATCTTTTTGTACACTGCAGACTCACAGTCAAGCGTAACAGTTGGATACAGATTTATTGAGACTTTGAGCTCCAGTCTGGAATGTAATCCACCAGTTGAGGTTCCTGGTGTAAGACTAAAGTCCTGGACCAGCGGAGAGGTTTAACATCCTCTGCAATAACATACCAGGACTTAGTTGAAGGAAAGATAGATATAAGCAGTACTTCAAAGGTAATTCGTCTTGAGCTTCAGCTAAGTTGCTGTGGCTTAGTGGTTTATGGTGGACTGTTATTTAATTCTCTTGATTTATTTTGTCAGCGTCTGTTAAGAAGTTTACTGATGAATCCAGGCATTTTCCAGCAGAGGATATCTGGCCTGTTACTGATAAGGATGGTTTTCCTGTATTAAAAAAATCTAAACTAAAAATGCCATCCGAATTTTTCCACAGGAGACCTGTCTGCAAGACGACTCTGCCAAGGTGAAGCAAGACCTGTCACCAATACGGATTAAAGTGGTAGGTGTAATTGAAATATGGAATCTAACACAACTGAAGGATTCTCTAATCGTTTTTTTTTTTTTTTTACGATGACTAGTTTTGATGAACACGTTGAGTCCTGGTTCTGAGATGTCTCACCGAGTGTGTTGGTGGATTGTGACAATGTGGGATGTAAAGCAGTCCTGTTTTAGCCTCCTTATGGATCTGTGTGGATGTTTGCTTTGAACACAAGCTACTATTTATTACTATTTATCTTTTTGTGCATTTGTAATGTTTAGCCCTTTGTTCTTGTATTGTGGCTAATGTTTTACTGACAACTGTCTAATACTGTATATATCCATCCATACATTTGATCCAACATGCAGGAGACAAACATTTTCGATGTAAATGTGAGCTGTATGCTTAGAAAAAAAAATGAAGTGCTTCTGCTATAGAAACCTAAAAGGACTAGGAAGGCGAAGTAAACAATAGATTTTTCAAGGTTAGAATTAAATTTTAAGAGTAATTTCAGATATGTCAGGGGCATTTGACCTCCAGAGTGCTACTTTCTAACCCTGATACATGCAATTGAATTCTTCGTTACGCTCTGTGCTCACGGCCCAGAGATGCCTGAGACGGAATCAGAAATTGCTATTCTGAAGCGTGGCCTCCCGCATTGTGTTACCTGGTCACTCCTCAGCCGAGCGAAGTCTGCATAATCTATGCTCGGTCTAAAGGCTGAGGCTATAATTTTCTGTAATTTTTTTCCTCCTGAGGAAAACAAGTCTTGGGATTAGTGTGCAGAGTGTGATCAATGTGTGAGGATGAAAAGATCACGAAGATTCAACTTTGTATGCTAAATACATCTCATGATATACGTGTTAAATTAGTCGCTGTCTGTGGAGATCAATGCCTAAGCTATGGACAATAAAATATTACATTTCAAGGTATTAACATAGCAATATCTAATTTATGTGTGCATTGTGAATACTAACCACGAGACCTGTGACACAATGTGAAATCACATACTGAGACAGAATATTTCTCATATTACCTACAGTGCGTGAAAAATGTTGGAGCTCATATTACCTACAGTGCGTGAAAAATTACATTACATTACAAATTACATTACAATAAAACACTGGGTTTCTTTCAGTGTTGATTAATGAAAATTCATTTAAAAAATCATACAAAGAAATTCCACAAGGTGGACACTTTTATGCTTGCCTACCCTGAAGATAGAGTAAAACATCAGGGCACTTTTCGTAGTCAATTATGTATAAGTTCATATGAATAAAATGTAAACTAAATGTCTGTGACGATACAATATTGAAATAGTGCTTTTGTTTTGTGTTGAAATTCTCCATAAAGTCAAACACACGTCAGCACTTTTTTAGTTTTTCTCCAAACATTTCACCTACTGTACAGACTGGAAAGGTGCTGCCTGCTGGGCTTGGACAAGTGTTTAATGAGAGCGGTGAGCAAGATGCAAAGATTAGAGCCAAGTCTGTAAGATAAAACGGTCTCAGGCTGGGGGGCATGGTAAAGTGCCTTCATCATTCTGAAATTCTTTGTCACGGCAAGACCAGGGTCAGAAAGTAGCTGTGGCCTCGAGTTAAAAATGCCCTTGGAACTCAGTGTAGAGTGTGGCACATGATGTAGATAAAGTTAACTTTGGCAAAGTCAGAGTGGAAACAGACCAGATAGGTATCTGTGGTACACACAGAGTGTTTGTGCAGTTTACCTGGATTATTGATATTATACTCATAATGTATGATATGTAATACACTCTATTATACTTCAGTCTTTTTTTTTCCAACAAATTGTCAACTTTGCTTTCCTCCTGAAAGCTGTTCAAGGCGTCGGTGCTGGCAGCATGTCACTGTGAAACCTCATGATGTGTGACAGAAAAAGAGCTGATAACAGATGCAGTGCAGAAGTGTTTGAGAGGACAGGGTCAACATGTAGCACAAAGAGCTTTTAATTGTCAAAAAGTTTGAGTTGCACAGCAATCACAGTTAATCAACATCCATTTAATGCTAGGCTCCGTCTCTCTGTTTGGGAAAGGTCCTGATTTTTATTTTCAATTTGCCTCAATAGCAGAGTGTAGAACCTTCAAGTTCCCCCATGCCAAATCTGCTTACAAGATGCCTGTGGCGCAAACACCCAAAGACAGCCCCAGTGAAGAACTCAGTGCTGCCCCCAGTGGACACACAGAACTACTGCAGCATCAGCCATGCTTCCTGTGGCCGGACAGAGCTGGACCTGGATCATGAGAACAGGGGGGAGGATGAGGAGGACAACAGCCCCGATGAACAGCCTCCCATTGTGCTGAGCTGCGAAGTAAAGAATTTGTCCAACGGGAGAACACACACGTCGTTACGTCAGATGCCTCACTCTCTCACCAATAGTTCACGATTCAGGAGCATGCACGCCCGGGAGAAAAAAGCCACTCAGATGTTGGCCATCGTACTTGGTGAGTAGTTTGTCTGCACAGAAAATGAAATGAAGTAGTAAATGTCAGGGAAACTCACTGTCACTGTGATATTTTGTCCTTTTCTACCATGTGCACCTATTGTCACCTGTGCTGTTCTCTCCTGACTTCACTGTGTTGGCACAGACACATTTGCTGACTTTTGCTTTTCTTCTTCTGCATAATTTGTAGAATCATAATAAGTCAAGCTGAAATGTTCAGAAAGTCAGGGCTGGGCTTGGGTTCACAGGGTGTATCCAGACGTGAGCTGCAGCTCCTGACACAGCTTACACACACACACACACACACACACACACACACGCTCCAATTATCAGCCAGGTTGCTCCAAACTGGTCCAGTTAGCTCTGGCACAGCAGCGCTCCTGCTGACGAAAATGTAATCAGAAGTGCCTGATTACCTTACACTGGTGTCAGTGGTGCACGCACACACATACACACAGTGGTGCACACACACACATACACACAGAATATTTATCCAGCCCTCATCCCACCTGCTTTTTATGCAAATGAGCACAGTTCTCCCACAAGGTCCTGGCCAAAATTCAAGCTTCTGAATATAGCAATTAGCAAAAACAAAAACATTTCTGTGCAAAAAGAAACTTCTAATTTTCTGTACTGCTGTTAATGGACACCCCCGTGAGTGTTTTTTTTGAATACACGGTAATGATAATCAATCATAACTTTTCTTTGTTTTCTTTGTTCAATTTCCTGGCTGTCAGTTACCACTTAACTGACCAATACAGTCTGGCTCAACAGAATCGTCTTCTGGTTCATCCTTCAATATATAAAAAATAACACTGTGTGTTCTCATCATGAAACCTCAGCCTGTTGGAATGGAAAGAGGCCTGACATACGTGACTCAGATGTAGTCAACCAGTGTGGAGCACATTTGGAACTGATTGTAAACACTAACTTTTACCAAACACATATTCAAAGAAAATACAATTTAATATCAACTCGTAAATAATCAGTTAATCTTGTTATTATCATGGTTCATGTCGTTATTTAATGATTAAGAAATTAGAAGTCAAATTAATTAGTTTTGTTTCTTTAGGTGTTAAAGCAGAGGAGTAATATATTTTACATTTATTGTATTCCTTAAATGGTTGTGTTGGTTATGTAACATAAATGTTCTTCTTCTTTTCTCCCTTCTCCCTCTTTTAATTCCTCCTCACCCATCTATTCTTCACACTTTTACGCTCTCATTCCTCCACACATTTACAACTTAACTGACGTCATTACACATTCATGCTTTTTATCCCGGCTCCTCACCGTCTGCCTTTTCCTATAAATGTTTTCTTTGCTTTCAAACACCTATTCCAACCTATCCACGCTTATATTGTCCATTTCTGTCCTTCTTTTCCCCATACCAGGGGTCTTTCTCATCTGCTGGCTGCCTTTCTTTGTGACCCACATCCTAAATACTCACTGCAGGACATGCTATGTGCCTCCTGCACTTTACAGTGCTTTCACTTGGCTGGGGTACGTCAACAGCGCCCTAAACCCTATTATCTACACCACCTTTAACATTGAGTTTAGACGGGCCTTCATCAAGATCCTCAGCTGCTGAGCCTAAAAAGCAAACCAGGAAATTAAAATGGAAATGAGGCTGACGACCATGCCGCACCTCTACAGCTCTGGTGCATTTGGTAAACAGTTGTCACTGACTGGTCATGGTGAAAGAAGCACAACAAACCCTCCAGCTGGAGTTACACACTGGCATTGAGGTGGTGAACGGAGTGGGACTGACACTGTGCTGTGCAATAGAAGGTGATTAGTTTGTTTTCTTTCTTGGTCTGACTTCAAAAAGTTTCAGTGTTGTGTTTCTGGGACTTCATTTGAACAGTATTACCTCATAAATTTGGACCTTAAATGAAACTAAATGCACACGACGTGCATAAAGTCTCGTTGATGGCACAGGGCCGTGGAACTTTCTTGTTGATTTGTCTCGTACTTTGTGTGCACTGCTCATCAGCACAGTTTAGAACTCCTTGATCAATACCAGTTTGGAAACCAGAGCGGCGCTGTCGCGGCTGATGCATTGATCACAAAGTTGCAGGCACGCCTCACCCTGAGGCACACGGCCAACATACTGTGGATTAACTGAAGTTCAACCTCCTCCTCTTCACCTTCCTCTCCATCACTCAGTCACTGGATCATGACAGAATCAAAATTCAAGGTCATTCAAGTAAGTGGATCATGACAGAATCAAAATTCAAGGCCAGTCAAGTTGAATTGAGCCCCAAGGATCGTATTGGTCCCTGCCAACGATCACATCGTTTTGATTGTCATCTGTATTGATGTGAAGGCATTCTGTGCCATGTCGAGTTAGTAGAAAAAAAAAACAAAAAACGATGTAATATTTTGAGTTTTGTGATGCAAAGTTGAAACATTTTTAGTGTTTGTTACGAGGGGCTTTTTAATGGCAAACATCCCAGTTATTGAAGGAGAAATCTGTCAAAATCCAACACATTTTTCTGTTATTGCAAATCACTGAGTGCTGCCAGTAAAAAAAACAAGACGATATGGTCCAACGCAAACTGAATTTAACTTCTGTTTGTGAGCACAGCCCAGCTGTTACAGTTTAATCTTGTGACTTTTTATGAGCCCGACATGTCGTTACATGTGGTGAACAACATGAAGTCTTCATCGTGCTTCATCATCTCTATATTGAAATGTATAATGTTCAAAGATGTGGCAGCTCACTACCATTTTGAGGTAAAAAAAAAATCCAAAACATTCAAAATCTGTCCCCATCGGTTAATTTAAAAAAATCTAGACTGTACGAATGTCAAATTTGGACAGAAGTGTGTTTCTACTGACAGTATTCAGTGTTAATAAAAGACAGGATTATGTGTTAAAACCAGAGGATTAGCCCTTTACCAGCTGCCTGCTGGCTCCTCTGATACTGGGATGAAGGCTGAAGATTTGTGATTTAACAAAACGAGTGCGTCGGTAAAGCCTGCGGCGAGCAGATCTGTCGTGAACAGAACATTTATTGCTGTGTGTTGTAAATAAAAAAAAGTGATGACATTTCCTTTTCACCTAGTCCTGCAATTATCTTCACCTACACAATACACAGCGTGTGTTCATGCATATTGCCTTTTCTTTTTTTTTTCCATAATGAAAGACGGTATCAGAAGTTCAGCAATGAAAGATTGGTGAGATGTTTTTCTGTGGGAGGAAATTGAGAAACAGAAAATAGAAGCAACAGTGACACAGAATGAGTCTGGAGTGAAAACATGTGGTATAAGACCTGAGGAGAGACATTAGAGAAGGGGGAAGAGAGTGGATGTGGAGTAAGAAAAAAACACAGATCAAAGATAACTGTAGGTGGAGAGTGAGTTAGGTTGTTTAAAGCTGCAAAAAAAAAAAAAAAAGGTGATGGAGGAGGAGGAAGATTGAGGCGTTGGTCTTCCTCAGCCAACATCTTAAGATCCCTTATTGCTCGGTGAGGCACAAACACCTGCTCCCCTGACTCTTTGTGCCATTGCGTCGGCTCAGGCCTGTTCCACTGAGACCTCTCGTGATAATGATGCACCAGGTGTGTAATGTGTGATTGTGTCCCTTTGTTTATAAGTACACCTGGTGAGAGGAAAAGAGCCTCCAGTGCAAGGTTATTATCAGCAGCAAACGTCACCAAGCCTCAGTCTTCAGTCTCCTCTGTCTGTTCTGTCTGTTCTTGTGGTCAACATCAGGACAACAACAACATGGTCAACCTTGCATCGTTACTCACTTTAGTGAGTCAGTGGGGCTCTTGAATATAATTTTAAGACATTTCTCCAGGAACCTTTGGGAGCTAAAAGCACGACTAAAATTCCCCAAATGCCTTAAAAATGTTTTCCTGATATTTATTTAACTTAATTGTCTTTAAGTCAGTCTGAGATCAGGCACAAAACCTGCACAACATATTTTTTTCTATTCTTTTGACCAAAGCTCTCATGCATTCACTTCTAGCTGTTTTACTGCCACCTACTGGCTGTAAACATTTCTACTGAGCAACTTTTTAACAGCTTGAAAAGGGAATGGTACAAAAATAAAATACCAATAGAGTGAGTTCATAATGAAACCATAATGAAAACAACAGCTGAAAGTTTGCCTTTGCTCTTAGCTAAAAATATAGCATACATGAAAGGTAAAGGGTAGCCCTGAAGTATGGTAATGATCATGGTAAACAACAAGTAAAGATGACAGCCAACAATATTGTGTATATGCATATTTAAGGAGCTGTAATTTGTATATAAATCATACCGTATAATGAGGTGTTGATCTATTGTGCTTTTCTAATTTGAATACTATTTAATTGAAATTTAATTAAAAGACGCATGGATGAGAAATCTAACCTGCACAGCTGGGTGTATATAGAATTTGGAGGTAATGATGAAACAACTCATTCACCTCCAACTATGAATGAACTGCATATGCCTGCAGATATAAGAGCTCATTATGTGGATCTCCAGAGGCTACAGTCCTCAGTGCTTCAGAGACGAAGTTGCCTAATAGATTAAACTTTCAAATCAAATTGCTCTTCATCTGAAACAGCACAGTCTAAATATATTACAATTCTGCTAAGATGCTTCCAGAGGAAAGGTTAGAAGGTCGTCAATAATGATCATGCGCTCAACCAATTTCATGGCAGACTCTTTTTCCATCTTCTATGTATAGTTGACATTTTGTCCAAAAAAATAAAAAAAGACTCTGATCTGATCTCTGACTCTGCTCCATCTGCATCAACAGCACCTGAAGGCACAAACAGGAGTTCAATGTGTCTGTGGCGTGAAGTCATCATGGGAGTGTAGAGAATCTGATTGCTGTCAACAGTTGGTAATGAATACAGACAATTTACAAGCACACGGGGCTTTGGGTTCAGGGACAAACAGAGTTAAAGGCCAGTGGCAGTGTGATCATTCTGTTTTGTGTACAATTTGTCCAGTTTATATTTGCTAAAGGCAGCTTCACAATGCAACATTTATGAACACAGTGGATGTGAAAGGTCTTCAGGGTTAAAGTTAAAGACATTTAACTTTACAACCGGGATCATATTTTCTGTTTGTCGAGTTTAATTTAAAAACAATCTAAGCCCAACTCCTCTGTATCACATTGATGGACAGACTGCACAGCCATCATTCATTTGCTGCTCTTAGAGGAAATAAAGCAGTGGTCCACCTGAATAATTATGTGAGGAATAAACAAATTCAAATTAGGTTTGAGTGTCCTTACCTTTCCTCTTGCCTCATGCATATTAACGTGCATGTTTTGTTAGAACTTACACCAAACTGCTACCTGTGTGTGTGTGTGTGTGTGTGTGTGTGTGTGTGTGTGTGTGTGCCTGCATGGATGTATAGAACAGCTTTTGCGATTACTGAATATAATTTGCTAAATTACATGCTTGTGTTTAAATCATGGTACTTGTGTATGCAGATCTATGGAGGGTCCAAAAACGAAGCCATGAGTGAAAGACTGGGAAAGGCTTCGGCTGCTCTGTTCAGTATGGGTGACGTGTCGGAGGAAAGACTAATGAATGTAATGCCGTGTTTATCAGTGGGTTTCAGAAGGAGGAGGAGGTTTTCCTGAGTGATTGTCGAGGTTTCAGTCGTGTTTTTTCAAATGCCACAAAACTTATTCTATAATTTAAAAAAAAATGTTTGTGCATAACAATTTTTTAATACCAAGTCCAAGTGTAAATAAGCTTAAACTTAACTTAACTATATAAATCGGTTCTAAAGCCTGGCCCCTGGACCAGACGTGACACGTGCTTCCTTGAACATTGGTTTTTGGCTTGCTTTGATCGCATGTGACCACGTGTGAAGACGCTCTGGCAGCACAAGTCGATGACTAAAACTGTCACCACTCCTACACAAATAGCACTTTTCCTTCTGCTTCTTCCTTTGTTTTTGGTGTTTTATGAAAGGCTTTGTGGATTTCTGTGGGTGGACGAACAGATGTGGAAGGCCGTCCCAGCGTTAAGCACCATCTAATGATGATGGATAAAGAGGTTGATTACAGACGGGGATGTCTTCTCTGCACTGACTGAGTCTGACACTGAGTCTAGCCCTCTCTCCTTCCTCCGATGCCTCCCACTCTTTTCCTCCCACCCACATGTCAAAGCAGCATGGTAATCATCCTCTCCTCTGCCGGTCTAAGAACTACCTTTCTGTTAATTTGATGCAGTTTTGAAATCCAGGGTTTAAATACTGTCACATTATCCATTTGTTGATAAGAAGCTGCTTCGTCCCATGTTTCGAGTAACCACTTGACACTAATTGGATAAGGATTTTTATGAAGAGTTTTTATTTGTGCGTTTCATAAAATCGACCACGTAGCTGAGAATATATCTGTTTAATGTTGCCGTAAAAATAAACAAAAATCCATTATCTATGTACAGCTTTTGTAGCACAGATATGTAAAAAAAAACTTATTTTGTTCCAGGTGCAGCCATAAGAATGGTTAAAAAAAACCATTCTAGATTGCCTTAGTTCATTGTGCAGGATATTGAGATAGCTACATTTTTGGGGAAGGTCACCCTCTGTCCTGATCTCCCCTCGTCAGATAAGCCCAGACAGATGCACAAAATTCATATAATTCATGGCCCAAGGCAATCGCTCCATCTCTGAAACCCTCTTGCTGACGCTCACTTGTGTTTTATAGCTTTTATTGACCGACTCAGCTGTTTTAAGTGTAGGAAGTTTTTGTCAGTTCAACAGTCAGGGGCACAGGCAGCAGTGCTGTGTATGAGGAGTACAGGGTAGGAGGGGGGCTCTCTGGTTTTTGTTTGCCTCCCTTTCTTTCTCCCTGAACTGCCTTGTTATTGCCCAGAGCCTGCTGTACGTCTCTGAACTGCCCTTTGATCAGATTGGCCAAAAGTTCGCTATGTTGGAAACCAATTGAGATGAGAGGCTGTAAACAGAACCCAGTAGTGGTGCAGACGTGTCCTTTATCAACAGCAGCAGGGAAAAGAAATCATTAAGTACAGTAGGAAAAAAAAGAAGTCAATCGAAATATTTACCACTGCTGTAATCTCATCAATCAGTGGGTGTCAAAGCCTGAACAAAATATGGTAATTAGTAATTAGCAACACTGCAATCAAGACACAGATAAGAGACAAGATAAAGACACACCTCACTAAAACTTGCACCACACAACACACACACACACACACGTGGTCCACACCTCACTAAAACTTGCACCACACACACACACACACGTGGTGTCTTCCCCTCTTTGTTGTGTGGTGCTGTCATCCGATGCACACTCCTGTGTGCTGACTCTATATGAAGTTGTTGTTTTTTAACTTGAAGCGGCGTTTTGGGAGCCACTGTAAATCAAATCAAATGACCATTTTAAAGTCTGATATTTATATAAAGAGTGACATAAAGGTGTGTGTTAGTGCCTCTGGACATGCAGCTGTGACACACAGCCTGACGCTGTCCAGCCATCACAGACAACACAGTCTAATCATACAGTCGACTGTAGGGACTCCAAAGCTGAGAACTGTCAAAGATCGGTGTTTATTCACATATTAAACCCCAGTGCCTTCTGGGGAAAGTGTAGCAACAAAAATCAATCTGCAATCTGATTGGATTTCATCATGAATACTAGACAAATTTCGATATGTGAAAATATTTTTCACAGAAAAAAACCCAAAGCAAATTGTTTGGTGATTTTTCTCTTTAATTTGTAAAATGCCACATCTAACGACCAAAAGATAGAATTCACAGATTAATACACAGTGTAAATGTGTGCCTTTGGGTGTTGAAGGAGTACTAAAGGTACAAAATCGAAACAAAATCTGCTTTTTGAATGTTTACTCTGGTTGTCAGTCAAGTTACTTTGCTGCTCTGTTTTGATGATCATCACCAATTTTTGCTGCTTCAAGGAGCAGGTATATGTGTAGAACAGAAGTCATTAATAACTGTACAGTGTGTGTCAGTCTGCCCATGGGTTAATGTTCATTAAATAGTTTTAATCTGATTAAATACAGTTAACGAAGGTAGTGATGTCCATTTCCTTCTCGCGTCTTCGGTGCAGCGCGAAGAATCTGTACTACTGACTGTGGTCTTTAGTTACAGAAACACATCCACTTATACAGAGCCCACAGTTATTACTTTTCCTCACTACATAGTGAGTCAATTCAATTTAAGGAAGTTGTCAATGTATTATTTTTGCAGCGGACATATATATGCAGTTTCTCCGAGGCCCCAAGTGGTATTTTATAACCTATTTGAATGACCCCTAATGTAAAAAGATATTGTACACACACACATGCTCGTATTCCCATAGTTCCAGTGTCATTAGCAATACTTTGTTTCAGGGTCATCCTGCACTGATTGGCAAGATCACCTTCCATGAAAAAATCGTGACTAGACTGTGTTTTTTTTTATCTTTACCAGCACATTGGGCTGTTTCTGATAGCATGCAAATGTTCTACATGTTCTCATTCAGCTGGAGCCTGGACGCTCCTGTGCATTCCAAGCCCATGAAGTGGTGTTGGCAAACACGTCTCTCTCATGTGTTCCCCAGAAGTATTTATCTTGTGTCTTTGATAAGGAAATCAACAGGAGAAGAAACCAGGGCCTCGGAGGAGTAATGTTCCTCTTGTGAGCCGTGACTACCATTTATAAGGAGCTGTGAGGATTTAAAGAAAGTTTTTGCTTTGATTCGCAATGAAACAACCCTGAGTTCTTTTTTTATGGTAAATGCATATTGAGCAGGTTGTGACTGACATTTAAAGGCAGTGAGACTCCACCTACAGTTAATTGAAAATGTATAATGAACACTCAATTAAAGAGGAGCACAGAGGTGCTGCCTGATAACACCCTGGGAAAACCTTCACACTGGGCTTGTGTGACTACGTGCACACAATACCACACCTGTGTCTTAGCAAAACCAACCAGCAGCG